AGTTATTGTACTGCATCGATCAAAGGCGCAAGCCACGAAATACTAGAATATTGTAGGAAAACGGCTTCAAATGGCGGGAGTCCTTTTCACGAACATGTATATAGGCAGGACATCACTCCCCTTAGATACAAAACACCTAGGAATAGGTTCCACGAGGCAAGTGCGACAGCACTATAAGACCACGGCGGGACCCGCCCGAATACCCTATGGGAGGTTACAGATAGGGCGTTAAACCATAATCAACATCAACATCAACAACCAGCTGCCCCAAAGGGCACAACCCGCAAATTCACCCGGCGAAACCACGCCACACCGACACAGACAAATGCAGGTATGCTGGGTGAATGTGGCCAGAAGCTCGCCTTGCCACATTACAGCCTTAGAACGTGCATGGGAAGCAGACATAGACATAGTATGCATCCAAGAACCCTTTACTCTCACTGGAACCCGGACCTCTACACACCCAGGATTCCATATGATATCGCCAGTGATAAGCTGGAACAACCCCACAACGTGGGGAACTGACCGACCACGGGTGCTCACCTATACCCGTAAGAGCCCAAATATAAGGGCTACTCTTATACACCCACGCATCAGCCGGGATGTGCTATGGATCGAGGCCAACGGCTACCGCATATTGAATGTTTATAGGCAGCCACAGAATGACTCGACATTTCAATACCTCACAGCTTTAACGCCACCCCGTAACTGCCTTATAGGGGGTGACTTAAACGCCCGCCATGAACTTTTTGAGCCCGGCTCCACGTCGGCCAATAGGGGGGCAGAGATCGCCCGCTGGGCCACTCAGAACGACATACCCTACATCGGCGAGGCAGGTAACCCAACACATCGGGCGGGACACGTGCTAGACGTATCCTTCTCAAATATACCCTTCGCTAGAACGACAGTCCGCGAAGATATGTATACAGGGTCAGACCATTTCACCCTAGTGACTGTCCTTCCAAGCCGAGGGAGAGCGGTGCTAGAACAGCATCACTACCGGGTCCACGAGAGAAACATAGATAGGTTTGCCGGGCTAGTTCAACTCTACACAGTAGGCGTACAGCCAATTAGCAATAGCGCCCCAGCGGACGTAATCGACGCAAGCATAGCTAGAATCACCCAAGCTATAGGAGATGCAATGCACGCGGCGGGAACACCAAATAGAGAAAAAGGCCACTCCGCCCCATGGTGGACAGAGGACTGTAGAGTGGCGTATAAGCGGCATATCCAGGAAAAGTCGGACTATGGCCAATCCCCCTCAGAAGCCACCCGTGCGTTCCTAGCTACGGTACGAAAAGCCAAGAGAACGTACTGGCAGCAGCGCATAGACGGCTGTAATAACGACAAAGATCTATACAAGCTAGTAGGCTGGCATAAACTATCATTCGACCAACGGGACACCCCACTTGTAATCGAAGGTAGGACAATCACAGCACCACTCGAGAAAGCTGAGGCACTTAGAGAGGCAATCCTCGACCGTTTTTCGGCGGAGGACGACCTCCTAGAACCACCGCCTCTTGACAACGACCCGCAAACCACGCCACTACCATGGGACACATACATATCGATGGAGGAGACTGAACGCTACGTGATTGGAGTATCTAGCACCTCCCCAGGACCCGATCAGGTGACCGTCCGACTCCTAAAGGCATGCTGGGAACACATTAGACACCTAGTGCTAGGCATCTACCGGGCGTGCATGGAACAAGGCCACTACCCAGCCGCCTGGAAGACGGTAGAAGTGGCCATGATACCCAAAGTCGGGAAGAAGGATAAGTCCTCACCCAGATCAATGAGACCAATTGCCCTATCGTCCTGTCTAGGGAAGGGACTCGAGCGTATCATAGCAAGGCGCATAGCACACACAGCTATGGCTTTTGACATCCTAAGCCCACAGCACGGTGGAGCGCTGCCAAAACGCTCTGCGATGGACCTGGCGACCGCATTCACACACGACGTGGAGATGGCTTGGTCAAGACACGAGCATGTCTCTATGCTCACGTTAGACGTCCAAGGGGCGTTTGACGCGCTACTGAAAAACAGGCTACTACACCGAATGCGGCAACAAGGGTGGCCACCCCTACTCCGGAAATTTATCCAGAACTTCCTGTCGGAAAGGAGGGTGCGAGTACGCCTAGGCAATGTCACTACACCTGTACATCGAGTGGCCTGCGGCACCCCGCAGGGATCGCCGCTATCACCGGTCCTATACACCCTATACCTAGCTGAACTACTCAACCAGGACCGAAAACTCCGGTTCGGGTATGCCGACGACATCAACCTATACCGGGTCTCCCACTCTTTAGACGAGAACGTCGCACTGCTAGCAGAGGACCTCAAATCTATCAATGAATGGGGAGCTGCGAACAAGATCACGTTTGCACCAGAGAAACGGGAGCTGATCCACCTCACGCGCCAGAAAGGACTACATGCGCCGCCAATCCAATTGGAAGATCAAACAATTCACCCTATAGCCCCTGCGCAGGGGGGAAGCCAGACAGCGCTGCGCTGGCTTGGGGTGTGGTTTGATAGGGGACTAACTTTCAAGAAGCACGTCGCGGAAAGGGCGGCGCAAGCCAGGAAAGTAGCGAACCATCTCCGGAGCCTCGCCAACACAGCCCACGGCCCTCCAGCAGGATCGCTACGCAAGGCAGCCATAACATGTATCCTGCCCATACTACTATACGGAGCCGAAACATGGTACGAGGGCAGGACGAAGAACCCACGAATTGCAAGGGTTTCCCGTAAACCCACGGTCAGCACTAGGGTAGGCTGGCACCTAACCACGATAGATCAGGCACTAATAGCAGCCACGAAGGCAATCCTCCCTGCGTGGAGGACAACACCAAACGCAGTACTGCTAAGAGAAGCTGCGATGCCGTCGGCACAGGTGGCGCTAGAGGAGGCTAAGCTCCGCTTTGCGGTTCACCTACGCACAATAGACGACAAGCACCCACTTACTAATAGAACTACACTGCCACTAGTCATACGAGGACGCGCAGCGGGCAACCGACGGATACCAAGATCGAAGGTTCAGCGCGTAGCACAACTGCTACCCGCCACACCCCGAAACGTCCTAGCCAGCCCTCACTTTTCAGACGGGTCGAGGCAGGATCCAACGCAAGGGCAAGGAAAGGACATTGCTGCCCAGAATTTCACCATCTGGTGGGAGTCTCTTGGACAGGAGACAATCACTGTCTTCTCAGACGGGTCTGAACAACAAATCAACGGTACAAGGGTGGTCACTTACGGGTACGCTATATACCAGGGCCAGGCCGCCGTGGCGACTGGACAAGGCTCACTAAATGCCCTTAGCCACGTCTTCGATGCGGAGGCTATAGGCGCGTGCAGAGGACTCAAACACGCACTACAACTCTCACTGCCTAGCCAGAGGGAGATCGTACTTTGCATAGACAGCACTTCGGTAATATGGGGCATACGCGGAACCGCCCCTACCTCCTCCCAATGGGCGTTCCTCCAAATCCATGGAGCTATGGAGGCCTACAACGTGAAAACGCGGTGGGCGCCGGGACACATGAAGATTGTTGGAAACGAGCTCGCCGACCAGCTGGCTGACAGCGAGGCCAAAGACCCGCACCAGCCATACGGCATGGCCGCCTCCCCCACAAGATCCGGTATACGAACAGTAGGCCGCCGCCTCCTCGAACATACAAGGGACACTTGGTGGAAGGATAAGAGCAGTAGGCTATCAGCATGGTACACGCAATGGCAGCTGCCATACGATACTAGGCGCACGCCCGCAGCGCTATGGCTACCCCGAAGGATACTCGCGAAAGTCCTTATGATACGCTCAACGCATGGCGACTTTGAATGGTACCACCGAAAATTCAACCACGAGGATACCTCGAAATGCCTATGCGGCAGGCCCAAGACGCCAGAACACCTAGTGTTCTGCAAGAGAGCCACAACACACTTCAAGAAGTGGCCTCTACGCCCCATCGTGCCCCCTCGCACAAGACAGGAAGGCCTAGCGTACCTCGCGCAATTAATAGACCAGCCACAAGAGTTCGAGACCTTCGTGAAGGTAACGAACTCCTTCTATGACGAGTGATTTCTATTTTTGAATTTCACAAAGACCCGCTGAATTCCTTGGCATTATTCAGTGTAGGATTCGCGGCAGAACGCCGCATAGATGCCACAACCCACACGCTCTCTTTTAAAACTTTCATTGTATCTTAAATTGCCTCTTGTTACTTTTTCGTTTCTCTCTCTAAAAAGCAGTTATTGTACTGCATCGATCAAAGGCGCAAGCCACGAAATACTAGAATATTGTAGGAAAACGGCTTCAAATGGCGGGAGTCCTTTTCACGAACATGTATATAGGCAGGACATCACTCCCCTTAGATACAAAACACCTAGGAATAGGTTCCACGAGGCAAGTGCGACAGCACTATAAGACCACGGCGGGACCCGCCCGAATACCCTATGGGAGGTTACAGATAGGGCGTTAAACCATAATCAACATCAACATCAACCAGCTGCCCCAACCCCGCCCGAATACCCTATGGGAGGTTACAGATAGGGCGTTAAACCACAATCAACCAGCTGCCCCAGCTCAAACCACCCGCCGCGGCCGCAACGTCAACCTTCCAGATAGATACAAGTAGCACAAGTTAATTGCAAGCATCTAATTACTTCAAATCTATGATATCTCGCGATAACAGCAATTGTGGGTGGCTCTACAACCTCATTTTTCTAAAGTTTTAGTGTTGATGGGGTGTGCATTACTCCGATCCGGGCATTGCGTGCACGGACACGTTAAGTCATCGATGTAGATTCTTGTAAAGCTTTCAATTTTAATGTACTACATGAGATGTTTGCTATCTTCTATGCTGTACTACAATTCTCTATCATGATATGCAAATTTACCCCCACGCTAGAAACGCTCGCTTCTATACCTCAACTGAGTGTACAATATTACAACAAAAAAAAGAATACATCTTAACATCTCTACCGATTCCCGTTTTATAACACGCTTACTTCTCAGCCTTCTTACTCTGCTTAGTCCTCAACTTCATAAACAAGAACACCAGTGCGTATCCGGAAAACGCAAAGATGACGCAAATGCCCGCATCTCTCCATCCGAGGTATCGCTCACCCAGGTTGACGGTGGCGAGGTAGTCTCGTCCGACAGTGTACTGGCAGACCTTGCATCCAGAAGTGGCATCAGGGTTGACAAGGTTGGTGCGACTACCAGGTCCACTGAGCCAAGCTTCCAGGTATTGCGCGCAGGTCTGGTTGCCGTTGGCAGCCGGGGGATCGAACAGGGCGAACTCAGACTCTCTGCACTCGATCTTCCAGTCAAAGTCTGTGAAGATAAGGAGGGAGCCCATCAGGTAGTTGAAAGGGTTGAGGTAGTAAAGCCAGTACCTCCAGAAATCCTGGATCTGTGCGTACGGGACGAGTACACCGCAGAAGCAGCAGAGGGTAGAGAGGAGGAGCGGGTTAACCAGAGAAGCGAACACAGCGTTGGGAGCATATGCAGCAACGAACTGTCCGAAGCCAGTGTAGATGAACTGGTAAACCAAAAAGACGAAGAACACAGCACCGGCTTTGCTGGCTTCAGCAGGTAGGCCAGCAATAAAGTAAAAGATGAGGAAGTACAAAGTACCGCAGATGAGCAGATACGGCATCTCAGATGTAATAAGTGCCGTAACAAACGACTGCCAAGAGTACATCTTCGACTTCTTCTCTCTTGCTTCGTAGATGTCGCGGCGCTCGAGGAAGATGGGCTGCAGCTGGGCAATAACACCAGGTGCGACGAAGATGTACTGGAAGAGCGAGAACAAAACGTACTTTTGCTCCGCGACCGAGTTGCCGATTTGGAAGAAGGTGAGACCAATGAAGAAGGCGACGCCGATGTGCAGAATCAACTTGTTGTTGAAGTAGTCGAGGTCGCGGAAGAAACTGATGTTCATGCGGTTGGTGACTAGCCTTGCTTGTGTCCAGAAGGTGGTGGCGAACTCGTGGCCGTCATCCTTGGTGCCTGGCTCCTTGCTAGCTGCGTCGGAGATGATCTCGTCGAGGTGCTGGTTCAGGGCGGCTGATTCGGGAGAGTCGAGCCAGACTTGGTGCCAGTCGCGTCCAGCAGGGTCGTAGCCGCTGACAACATCGATCATGTGTTCAGCTGGGTTAGCGCCTGGTGGGCAGGGACAATCGTAGCGGCCAAAGTATTCCTTGATAGTCTCTGCGTTATCGCCGATGTCGCCAAAGTAGACCGTCTTGCCGCCTTTGGCAAGGAGAAGAAGCGTGTCGAACTGGGCGAACAGGAGGGCAGAGGGCTGGTGAATGGTAACGAGAACTGCTTGGCCAATGTCGGCGAGCTTCCTGAGAAATCGGACTGTGTTGAAGGCTGCTTGGCCGTCAAGACCTGATGTGGGCTCGTCGAGAAAGATGAGAATAGAGGGCTTGGACACGAGTTCGACACCAATGGTGACGCGCTTTCGCTGTTCAACTGAAAGACCAGCTCCGACTTTACCAATGAGAGTGTTCTCGAGATCGTGTAGTTCTAAAAGGTCGATAATAGTGTCGACATAGGCGAGCTTCTCCTCCTTTGACACGTCACGACCTTGTCGAAGAAGCGCGGAGAACTCGAGAGCTTCTCGTACAGTGGAGTAGGCATCATGGACATCAAGCTGCTCGCAGTAACCTGCGGATCGCTGGAATGAGACTGGTAGTGGTCGCCCGTCGACTAGGACCTCGCCCTTGATCGTACCTTGTGTTTTGCGTTGAGCGAGGACATCCAAAAGAGTGGTTTTGCCGGCACCGGAAGAGCCCATGAGGGCACCTAGCATACCGGGTTTGACATAACCGTGGACGTTGTCGAGTAGAGTTCGGTCGCCAGTGGGGGTCTTGACAGTGTAGGTCAGGTTGCGCCATGTGAAGATGGAGGTGTTGCGGATAAGACTCTTCTCGAGACCAGTCTTTGTCTCGCCCGATGCTCCCAAAGTGGCGTTGTTCGATGACAGCTTCTCGCCTAACTGAGCTTCTTCATCTTGAGCCCGAGACGCGCGAAGTTTTGCAACCTTCTTGCTCTTCTCCCGGGGAACATATGCGGTACTTGAGGCTGAAGTGTCATCCCAGCGACAGGTGAAGAAGATGGTGAGGGCAACGAAGAAAGCCCACCATGCGAAAAGGATACCAACATTGCGCCAGATATTAGATGGCGAGTAGGAAAGACTGGCTAGATAATCCTCTCCGCTGACCTTGTTTGCACCAGGCCTTGCACCACCGATTCCAGCGCAGGCTTGAGAGTTGGGGTCCTGGTATTGAGGGAGGTAGTTGGGGATGAGGTTGTCGTAGACACATGGGATGGTCGTTCCCTCGTACTCGTTCGCCATGAGAGATTCAAAGCCATATGCCAATGGGTTGATCCAGTACATCCACACGAGCCAAGGGTGCATAGCGGGCTTGGGGATCTCGTAGCCCATGTATACGATTGTCGCAGTAATGGCAAAACCAGAGATCTTGGAGGCTTCGTTGAAAGTCGGGAACCCAGCGCCGATAGTCCTCATCATGGCAGTCATGACGAGAGTGACAACATAGACGACGAACCAGTTGATGAAAAATGCAGCAGCAGTCGCTTTCAGGGCAGTCATCCAGTATAGAATGAGCGTAAAGCTGGTGATCTGGAAGAGCAATATAGGTATGTCTGCCGCAACCTGAGCGATGCAGAATGCCGCGGGGTTGAAGAAAGCAAAGTTCTTTTGCTTTGCGAGAATCGGACGGCCGGTGAAGGAGTCGTTGACTTCGGACAGTGTGAATAGGGCGTTGAACAGAAGCGAGAGGAACAAGGCTCCAGACTTGAGGAACAGTCCAGCGGAATTGTCGGGTGCGTTGTAGAAGAGCGAACCAGTGATCAAGGCTTGGACGATGTTGGTGGCTTGCTTGATGAGCAGGGTAGGCTTGTCGTTCCAGAGAATCTGGTATTGACGGATAACACAAGCCTTGACTTGAGCAGGGAATGAAACAGTCATGGGTGAGGATTTCGGCAAGCGACGCGACTTCTCGGAATCGACAGCCTGGCAAAAGGCTTGTGTGTTCGTCTTGGCCTCGCTAGAGACGGGGTAATCGAGCTCCCGGTCCATGGCGGCCTTGATCTTGGACTGTTGGTAGGCTTGCTGGATCTCAGCTGCGGTACGAGGAAACTTGTCCTCGAAATACGGCTTGATCTCGCGCTCGCTGGGTACTGTGACACCTGTGAGGTAATCGGCGACGTTGGCTCCGTCTCCGCAGATGAAGCCAAGAGACTCCATGAATGGGCGTGCTTCCTCGCGGGGGCCGTAGTATATTTGCTTGCCCTCGTCTAGGACCAACACCTTGTCGAACAGGTCGTAGATACCATTACCAGCCTGGTAAAGAGTGACAATAGTCGCCATGCCCATGGTATCTGTTAGGCAACGTAGCGCGCGTGTGTACTCCAAAGCAGTAGATGCGTCTAGACCTCGCGTCGAGTTATCCCAGCATGCGATGCTTGGACGGGTCGCAAGTGTCTCGATGATGGAAACTCGTTTTCGCTCGCCGCCTGAGACGCCTCGTACGTAGGCGTCACCCACTTTGGTGTTTTCAGTGTGTGATATGCCCATCGAGTTGAGGAGGAAGCCTTTGAATTTGTTTCGGGCTTCTTCTTGACTTCTTCCGTCTTGAATGGTCTCGGGTGTGTTGAGGCGAGTCGCGAAATCCATGGTCTCCCCTACGGTGAGTGTTGGGTAAAACAGCTCTTCTTCGTTGTTGATGACGATACTGCCGCGATATTGCTCGGCCTGCTTTGCGTCTAGAGACCCAAAGTGAACGTCGCCATTAACTTTTGCGTATCTGTTGTGGCTTAGTTAGCTTTGGATTCACGTTTTGCACAAAAAGAACTTACCCGTTTCGCTTGTTGGCTAGCATCTTGAGCAGAGTTGAGCAGCCGGATCCTGGTCGACCTAGGACGAGGAGCATCTCACCCGGACGGACGCAGCCAGAGGTAGATTCGAGTATAGGTTTCAGAGCCGGTTTCCGTCGTGCATCCTTGATGAGTTGTGGGACGTTGAATTGACTGATGATGTTCTCCTGTAACCGCTCGTCCGAAGGTACAACTTCCACTGACAGATCCCGCCAGGTAACACCAAGTCTGCGAACGCCAGCCTGGTTGTTCATGTCAAAGTCCTTGACATCTTCTGCCAGCCTCCACTCGACATGTGTTTTGACCGAGCCATCCTTTCCACTCTGCATTGAGCCTTTGTCATGGTGTTGCATCTTCTCGGAAGATGAAGACGGTGTTGCGACCGGGGTAGAGCCTTGAGTATCCATTGCAAATGTGCAATTAGACACTGGCTCGAAGTAAAGTGAAGTCGCAAGTAGTTGCTTTGATTGTTTGTAGAGCAGATGTCATGTAACTTTGTCTAGAGTATCTATACATTGTAGCACTCTTACTAAAACGGGACAAGTAATAATGTCGATGATCACGGAAAGTTACTAAGGTACAGATCGGGAAACGTGCATGCGAATCTGGAATTCAGCCTCACCACAAGCCTTCATGCATACCCCGCAGGGGTCCTGGGTGGGCACCGCGGGCCCCGCCGGCGTCTCGGCCGCCACGGGACACGAGAGTCGGGACAACCGCCCTCCGCTTTTGGCAACGTCAAGCCAATGCCTAGCACGCCCAAGAGATCCTCTCCAGGTTCCTGCCTTTACACATGCAATTATGTTCATCATGTCGGAGTCATTGATGTCGTGGAGGGCGGCACATGTGGTATTTGTTAGTTTGGTTGGCACCTGGGTCTGGAGCGATTACGTCATCGCGATATGATCCTTTGTTCCGACCACCGAGATAGTGCGATATCCCAAGTCGGAGCAAAGCTGTAACGTCTATACTGTACTACGAAGAAAGTGCAAGAATTTTACTCTTGCCAAAATTCACTCGTGGTACAGATAAAATTACAGAGTGAGTATCCATGGACGACACAATGTTAAAAGTATTGTACGTTCGGATAAATACGCGAGGAGAGATGTATAGAACAGGCACTAATGTAGGCGCATATGAATCCCATCAATATTCCGACTGTTGATACCGTTATCGGAAGCTCTTCGGTAGGATCACATCCCGAGACACCTACGTCGGTCATGCTCTGTTTCTTGATATATACGGCAAGATGCGCCACACATTCTCAAGCATCACTCACAACCACATTTACTCTACACTCCAAATACACCCACCTTTTTTAAGACCTATTCACATTCACCATGACGACTTTTGCGATCCTTGGCGCTACAGGCAACTGTGGAACCGCCCTTCTCGAACTCCTTCTTTCTAGTACAGATGTCAAGATCAAGGCATACTGCCGCAGCAAGGACAAGCTTTTCCGCCTAGTTCCTGCCGCCGCCGACAACTCCAGGGTCGAAGTCTTTACCGGCAGCATCTTAGACGCCGATCTGCTCAGCAAAGCCATGTGGGGAGCAACCGCAGTCTTTCTTACGGCTTCCACAAACGACAACGTCCCCGGCTGTCACATTAGTCAGGACTTGGCCTCCACTGTCATCAAGGCGCTCCAGAGCTGGAGGTCTTCCGGCAAGGAACACCCGCCTATCCCCAAGCTTTTGCAACTATCTTCTGCCACCATCGACCCGTGGCTTAGCCGCAAGAACCCTTGGGTCAACGCCATCGTCCGTCGATCCGCCTTCCACGTTTACCGTGACCTCGAGTTATCCGAGAAGATCCTGCGCGCGAATGAGGATTGGGTCACTACTATTTACATCAAGCCCGGCGGGCTGTCGGTCGATGTACAACGCGGCCACAAGCTTACACTCGACGAGGAGGAGTCTTTTGTTTCCTACATGGACATTGCTGGAGGTATGATTGAGGCAGCTCAGGATCCTGATGGTCGCTGGGACAACAAGAACGTTGGTGTTGTCAACGCCAACGGCAAGGCCAAGTTCCCCTCTGGCACTCCAAAGTGCATCGTTTGTGGTCTTCTTACTTATTATTTTCCCTTCCTGTACCCCTACCTCCCTTCCGGTACCGGACCCGCTTAGGTTAAGGTTTATTTAGTTTTAGATTAGTTTTCTTACAGTTATAGGTTAATGCAAGGGGTTCTTTATGACTCGTCGTTGACTGCCGTGATGTACGCCGTGATGTACGCCACATGCGAGTAAACAGTGAAGTAGAAACATGGTTCAAAATTCCGGAGCTCCACACAAGTCGCGATTCAGCAAAGATCTCATGCGCAAGTGAGAAACTCTAGATCACGGAGTGATTTTATGAATCAACGTCAACTTAGGGGTTTCCTCATTGACACCAATAGAAGTCGCGACTATAATCCATATACGAAATAGCATTTACAGTAGCAAAGAACTAGCGAGCAACAAGCAGAATTCTAACCTTATTGTCATCATCACCACCCAACTTACTACGTCAAGTACATTCTGAAACTAGACAATGATACATAAATTCCATCGTCCTAAAAGTTGACTACAGTCAACGCAATTCGTGATCCCCACTTCACCCAGCCAAGTCCCAACCCATATCCCACCCATCCCAAATTGACCTCGCTACAAAAACCCACCGTCCCCAGACAACCCCCAGCACACCCCTGATACCATCATCTCCGACTCCCCATACCTATAGTTAGTAGGTAGACCCGCACTCCGCCCGGCGCTAACCCAAACCGCACATCCACCGAACTCCGTCACCCCCTTCTACCATCGGGTCAGCACCATCGACACCACCAAAAAAATCAATGACGCCTACATACCTATGTAAAACATATCCCCAATACCCCCATATACTCAAAATAGCAAAACAGGCCATGCTCGGTCCAATTCAAAAGTACGGTACCCTAGGTAAACGCTAAGGAAGAAATCCTCCGAGACGCACGCACGCGCGCCAAGCTTCCGATGTCCACCTACTGTACACCTACGGGGAATGATTGTATGCTAGGCTTGGGTTGGGTGCCACTTGCCGCGTTCCGAGGGGGAAAATCTCCGATTCTGTATGTGTGGTGTGGTTGTTGGAGACGGGGTGTGTAGGTAGGGCTTACTGTACATATGGTAAAAGGGATGATAAAAGACATGAATATCCCACGGATTATTGAGGCAGCACGAACTTGAGTGAATTAGCAAGCTCAAAATTTGAAGATTTATCTGTTGTTTCTATTATATTTTTTTGATCACCCACGACTGGAACGTGTCTAGAGAAGAAGAAGACAGGCAAAGTATAGCAATCATGTCTACTTTTGCAACTGAGAAGCGTCCAGCGCCTGAGGGTAAGTTTGTATTCAGGCCTTCATCACATCCATGAGTCCATTTACTCGCTCTACCCATCCATCATCCCTTTTTCTCCTCCATCAAGACACTGGAAACTGACAGAACTACAGACATCATCGGCTGCCAAGCCGCAGCCTTTGAATGGACAGAAAGCTACGACACTAAAGACTGGACTCGTCTCGCAGGCTGTGTCGCACCCACCCTCTACGTACGTCCCCGCCCCGTCCCTACCCTCTTCTCCTACCTATCCCATCCCCATCCCCCTCCCCCCCATCCACCCCCCTAACCCCCACCAGCTCGACTACACCTCCGTCCTAAACAAAAAATGGGAATCCCTCCCCGCCCCCGAATTCATCGCCCTCGCCTCCTCCCCCCACTTCCTCGGCAACGCCCTAATAAAAACCCAACACTTCATGGGCCAAACGCGCTGGATCTTGCACTCCGACGAAGAAATCCGCGGCCACCACCAGATGCGCGTTGCGCACCAGCGGTTTAAAGACGACGAGATGAATGAGGTGGCGTGTGTGGGACATGCGCATGGGGCGGCGATTGTGCATTATAAGAAGGTTGAGGGGGTATGGAAGTTTGCTGGGTTGGAGCCGGATATTAGGTGGAGTGAGGGGGAGTACGCGAGGATTTTTGCTCATGAGTAGTGTGTGGGAAGGGGGAGGGAAAGTGTATGTTTGGTCGTTTTGGGTGTTTAGAAGTGCATGGTGAGAGATTGTGAGGGAAAATAGAATAAGTGATTTTGTTTACAAGAATACGAGTTATTCATATGATGCCTCATGTTTGACGAGTGAGCCTAGTCTGTTCAACAACACGAACAGTGGGTTCATATGCTCCTCTGGGAATAAAAAGGTCACTGCGATAATCCATACACGCACACCCACGCAACAGGATTATTTATGCAGGATAACATGATCCATGGGCGAGCGGCGCACACGGGCGAGCGGCGCACCCCACCAACTTTTGCAACTTTAAAGCGATGCATCTCAACAACGCGATAATATTATTGCTAGATATTGATACAGTAGATTACTCTATATTAATAGTATCAGTCTTGCATGTGCGCGAGTTGTGCCCAGTCTCCTTGCACCTAGTGCAGCGCCTTTGAGCCCGCTGGCTGAGGCCTGATCGCGCTCCTCCTTGACGCTCTTCATGAGCAATCTGCTGGTCAGCCTCATTTTGAGCCAGTATATCCTCTCCAGCTCCCTTTGTGAGTACTCCCTGCTTCTGTATACGCCTTTTAGAGCGCCGCCTACGCTCTGAGGCTGCGCTATTGGCCTTCTCAAGACTAGAGATCCGATCGCGCATCAGCTCAGCAGAGAGCATCATCACCTCGGCGCCCTTCTTTAGCTGGTCAATCGCCATAATAATTGAAGCTGGTGATGAGCTCTTGTGCTGGCGCACGCGCTCACGTATTAGGCTTGACTGAGCCTCAAGCTCACGCGCGTTGCTCGGCGTTTGAGCTACCCAGGGAGCCTCTGGCAGAGCTGCTGGAGGAGTAGGTGTACGCAGTTGTACATCTACGTTTGATAGAACAGCCTCTGGTTGTAGAGGAACAAGGCCTGCGCCGCGGAAGGCTGAGCAGATATTGGCTGGCGTGAACGCTTGATCAAATGCTGCCTTGAACGCTGGCAGAAACTCTAGCTTGGTGATGTGGTTGATGTGGTTGCGCATAAGGCTCTCCACCTCACGGCTGTACGCGCGCTTCAATGGCGAGAAGCAGCCAACATCAAGTGGCTGGAGTAGGTGAGATGAGTGAGGAGGCATACAGAGCGTATGGATATTGTTCTCCTTGCAGAGCTCCTGGAACTCTAGAGATTGGTGGCTCTTATGGCCATCAATAATAAGCAGGCGACGCGCGCCTACACTACGAGCCTGCGTGTGAGCGTTGAAGTGCTTTAGCCACTCAACTCCAAGCTCATTATTCGTCCAGCCATTATCGCTGACTGCGATCGCCCAGTCGCGTGGGATCTCAGCTTCCTTATACCAGGCTGATAGGTGGTACTGGCCAGCGAAGATGAGGAACGGTGGGACTGACCAGCCAGCAGCGCTGATAGCAGCGATCAGCGTTACCCACTCGCGATTGCCTGGCTGAATACTCTTCGGCCTGCCTCTCCTCTCTGCTCCTGTTATAACTAGCTGCGTTGTAATCTTGCCCATCATAAAGCCAGCTTCATCAAAGTTGTAGACGTCCTCATCGCAGATACCTAGCTCAGCCTTTGTCTCTTCTACAAGCTTAAACCACCTCTTTATTAATGTTGCATCCTCACAAAGAGCTCTCTGCCTATCGTACGCTTGGTTGAAACACGTCCGAAGACTGTCTGTACGCTTAACAAAGGTAGATGGCCAGTTGACTCCAACCTGCTCTCCACCACGCGCAGCCAGCAGCTTATCAGCCATATCACGTACAGCTGTGTAGGTAGGCGCAAATCCACGCAGATCTAGCTGAAGTATATAGCTAATAATCACCTCCTCTTCTCTCTGGGTAAGCTTCCTTGAGTTGGGCGGGCAATCGCGTCGGGCAGGTATACCAGCGCGTCGGCGGCGGAGCGTTGTTTCGGCTACGTTGTAGACTACTGCAGCAGTACGGGTACCTTGGATCTGGTGCGCATTAATAGATGAGATAGCAAGCTGAATATCTGCTTCATTTGATAGTAATTGAGTAGCGCTGCGTTGAGCCATTGTAGATTAAGATCAGTAAGGTGAGTAAAGTTGGTGGGGTGCGCCGCTCGCCCGTGTGCGCCGCTCGCCCATGGATCATGTTAACGTATTTTAATACCTTTTTTATATGTTTTTTCCTTACTTTTTGGTTCAAAACTTTGCAAATGGACATTAACTTGACTTGCGTGCGTGACTGACTCATTCGCTCAATTAACAGCATTGACGAAAAGCAATGGCGAATACACAACGACGAACAACCGCAACGACAACCAAAACGACGCTCAACGCCAAAAACCAAACAAAGATTTGCAAAAGGGGTAGTCCAGAGAGTTCCATATGAAAACCAAAGAAGGCAGCAACGCAAAGATCGCTTCAATATGACAACAATTGGTATCTGAACTTTTCCTCCCAACAACAGCAAAGTGCTGAGAAAGAACCCCGTAGTAAAGGAATAGTAAAGGAACGGGTCGAATCCTCAAGTTACAGTACACAAAAAAGGTGGGTATGACGAAAGTAACTCTCATGCGGAGAGGAACAAGGAAAAGAACTTCCCTGAAGAGAAAAACGCACAAGTCCATGCGCTTGTGGTCCGTCCATGCAACAGATGATGGAGTTACACATGCCATCCAGTCATTACGACATACTTCCGCTACTCCCACACCAACGAGCGCTCCCCGACGCGGCGATGAAATCCAGTTCATACATAGTAGATTCGTTCAGTATTTAGGGCGTTGTGACATTTCCTTCGTTAATCAGTAAAGTCGCGCCCCGGTATTTGTCATTTCTTTTTCTTGGTATCCTTCCGGGCAGGAACACTACCAGCAGCCCATCGGAAGAAAGGCGATGGGGCGGTCTTCTTGCGGGAAGAGCTTCCGGAACTGCCACCTCCGCTGGGCACAACCACGACGGCAGGTGGAGGGGGAGGCATGGCGCCATCGGCACCTGGCGGTGGTGGGGGCGGGGGAGGCATAGCTCCAGGAGGAGGAGGCACTTGCACTATATGTGCATGAGATACTGATTGCTTCCTTCCCTTGTCCCGCTTTCCCTTACCTTTGAGTGGGAGATGGCTGGACATGAACATCTGCGCATCTGGTGGAGGTGGCGGTGGAGGAGGAAACGCTTCCTTGGGCTCCGGTGGTGGCGGTGGTGGAGGCTCCGGCATTGGCCACATGTGCATGGTAATGGCCCAGTCAGGCTGAATCATGGTCTCCCAAACTTGAGGCAGGATAATCTCTCCATCTGGGCCCACGAGGTCGTAGTGACCTTCATGCACATGTGGGCCAATGACGTCGACATGGAGGAAGGCTTGCTTGATGAGTTCCTCCATCCCCTGCTCTGATGTTAGCGCATACTCATGCTACACGAGGACAAGGATGTAGTTACCTTCCAGGTATTGCACAGGTTCCAGGGGAAGCTGAACTTGCGGCCCACTGCGTCCTTGAACTTGATCGGGGCTTTGGGAGCATCAGATGGCTTGAGTGCAGCAGCCTCCTCCTCAGCAGCCTTTTTCGCTTTTTCCAACTCTTCTGCGGCAGCCTTAGCATCCGCCATAGCCTTTTCGTGTTCCTTCTTTGTTTCTTCTTCAGCAGCCTTGGCGTCTGCCAGAGCCTTTTCATGAGCCTTTTTGAGCTCTTCCGCTTCTGCCGCAGCCTTCTTCTCCGCTTCTTCACGCGCCTTTTCATGAGCCTTTCTGATCTCTTCTGCTTCTGCAGCAGCCTTCTTCTCAGCCTCTTCACGCGCCTTTTCCGCAGCCTCGACCATAATTTGGGCCTTTTCGGCTGCGGCCCTCTTCTCTTCTGCAATGCGGGCTGCCTCAGCATCTGCTGCTGCTTTCTCTGCTGCACGGGCTGCTTCTGTGGCAGCTTCGCGTTTGAGTTGTTCATCTTTTTGAGCGAGAATAAGCTGCTCAAGCTTGGCGAGCTTGTCTTCATCGCCCCTCTTCTTTGCCTCTGCAGCCTCTATTGCGGCCTTTTCGGCAGCCTCCTTCTTGGCCCTCTCTTTTTCGATCTTTGCTTCTTGCTGAGCGATGAGCAAGTTCTCCAGACGTGAGAATTTGGCCAACTCTGCGTCTTTCCTGGCCTGCTCTGCAGCCTTCTCGTCCTCTTCAGCTTTGCCCATCAAGAGCTTTTCGAGTTTCGAGAGCATCCCCTCTTCCTTTGGATCGGGCTGTGGTGGTGGAGGCGGGGGTGGAGGTGGCGCCATGACTGCCATTTGGGGCATAGCCATCTGCATCTGTTGCGGCTGTAGAGTCTGCAATTGCATTTGCATCGCTCCAGGGGTCTGTGGTGGTGGAGGAGGCGGAGGCGGGGGAGCAGCAGCAGCAGGAGCAGGAGGCTCCTCTTCATGGTAGTGTTCATGATGGTGTTCATGGCGAGGTTTCGGAGTTGCGCGCTTCGAGGGAGGATGTTGTGGTGGCGGAGAAGGATGCGATGGATGTCCATAAGGTGGGTACATGTGAGGCTGCATGCCATATGGCGCACCTGGAGGGGCGCCGTAGGGTGGGTAGTAGCCCATGGGTGAGAAGGGCATCATCTCTCCTGAAGGTGGTCCTGGAGGCATTGAGTTGCGATGGCCTCTGCGTCCCTGGCGGGGATCCCGGGGGTCTTGATGGTGGGGGTCCTGGTGCCGGGGGTCCTGGTAGTCGGGGAAGTAGCCTGCCCGTGGGTCTGCGGCAGAGGGGGGCCCAGTGAAGGGATTTTGACCGTTTGGTGCAAATGGGTTCTGGGCATAAGCACCATGGGGGTCATGGCCAAATGGCACCATCTGGCCTGGAGGAGACTGAGCGCCTCCTGGGAAGCCGTACTGGAAACGTGGGTCCGATATCATACTAGGCGCATAGCCGTTTGGTGCAGGTTGAGGTATATGTCCCCAACCAGCACTGGGATGACCAGGCGGGGGCCCCGGCGCCCGCATTTGAGGGGGCGGATAAGGGTAGTCGTCGTCATCTTCGACGTCTAGAGGTTCCTGAGGGACGGATTGAGGCCTTGCCCGTCGCGGCCTGCGTACGCGCTCCAGTTTGCTTCGACTGCGACTGCGGCTATGGCTCTCGTGGCGGGAAGGGGGATCGGGCACGGGTGCTGCGTGGCGCGAAGAGGTTCGTTCGTGATGCGAGACTTTGGAACGCGGACCCCGTGGGGGCGCTATAGCGGGCGGGGGAATAGCACGATGCGCGACAGCGTGGTGGTGAGGAACGTTGTGGTGCGGGTGCGGGGCAGAGTGATGCTTTACAACTCGCGGGCGTGAGGCAGAGTCGGAAGGGTTGATTTCGTCCTCAATGTAGTCCCACGACCCTTCGTCTTCTTCCTCTTCCTCTTCGTCGTCCTCGTCGTCCTCTTCTTCTTCTTCGTCGTCGTCCTCTTCAGACCCTTCGTCAGTGGTGTACTCTTCTTCGCTAACCGATTCTACCTGAATGCCAGCCGAGTCCTCGTCGGTGAACTCGTCGTCGTGGTCGTCAAAAGCGCCGGTGTGGTTATTGACAGTGATTCCCTTCCGGAGTCTGATCGCAACGTTAGTGTCGCCCTTGACATGATAGCGGCGGTTGGGGGGAGACATCGAGACACTCGACGGCGCCGTGCTGTGCGTGTATCGCGAAGACGTTGAAGACGACGCAACGCGCGACTTGGCAACGCGGCGAGAAGAAGTATGGGGCATTGCGCGACGATGGGGAAGGTGGGCTATGACTAACGGCATGAGGCTGGTGATGCTGGGAACCGTACTCGAGCCCCTCTTCTACTGGAGAATGGCCGAGTCCGGAGTGCTGTGCTAAGTGCGCGAGGAAGGGGCGATGGGATCGGTCGGGAGTGGGGGGACGTGTGTTGTGCTGGAAGTGCAGTAGACGGGCGGCGAGGTGTCGAGGCTGCCTGGCTGGGCAGTGATGGCCCTGGGCAGCTGACAACTGTATTGGGGGGTGTTGTGGGTGGTGGGGGATGCTGACCGCTCCAGCACGGGGCGGGGCAATGCGGCGTCTGGATGCGAAGCAGATGGCGACGCTCAGCAACGAACAGCGGCGAAGAGGCAACTCGCAATAGAGGCTGCGGGTGACGGGCAGACTTTAGTCAATTTCCTCCAACAACAGGCAGCCTTGTACGGGCAGCAAAGGGAGAAGAATGCTTGTGTAAAGGCCGAAGCAGGGTTGGTCGCGTCCAGACTGGGCCGTGATTCGACAGGGCGAAAAATCGCTTCCAACTTCGGCTGAACCAGGCACTCGACGAGCAGTGGGGCCTGTAAGGGTAGGGTGTATTGTGCCGTAGCGAAACGGAATGTGTAGGTATGTGGTTGTGTTTGTGTCTCAGGGCCTACGCCGAACTCTCCAGATCAGATAACAATGTTTTAGAGTTGATTGCGCGGAGTCTGACATAGTCTGAGGAGATGTGGGATTCAGAGAGTCAGGTCAAGTGACGACAGCGAAGATATTGCTGAGATGCAAGACCAAGTCTACTGCACATGCACTGCCTATTTTGTTATCTAATTCAGTTGTCGTCAACTTACAGAGTGCGGGCCTCGACTTGTCGCAGCGGCCCCGTCTAGTTTGCATACGTGGTACATGCTCATTGAAGAGGAATCACCCCGCTGTGGCCTCACTTACCGCCTGGAGCCCAACTCAAATGCACGCATGCCGGAATCCACTGCAAAGAGGCTCGACGGGTAGTGCTATGCAGCCCAACCACACCAGCGCCGACGTAGCGCAACCCGAGACCAGCATGACCTGCCACGTGTAGTCCCAACTATACGACTCGTGCTTCGTGGACGAGTAGCAGCACACATGAGACCGACTTGCCTTCTGTTGCGTTGGTCGGCCGTGTACCGCTTCCCGACATCATCTTCGTGCCGTCCTCGCCTATCTTAGCTGCATGCTGTACCGAACAGCTGTCCCGGTCAAGTTGTCCACGGTTCAATGTTTTAATATTCTAAACACATGTCCATGTCATGTGACGAGTCAAGGAAATCTTATTGTAGTACTTGGCACTGTACAAGATATAGAACACACATGCTTCCACTCCCCGCTCTCCACCCCCTCGCCCAAAGTAGCGCAAAATGCAAGCCCCCCGAATACTTATTGGTTCGTCTTGCCTGAATTATTTGGCTTGGGAACATGGCCGAGAATGCTCTTGTTTTGTGGTGGCTGGTAGATAATCTTTCGTGTCTTCAGTGGTGCCCACTTGTACCTGTAATGGTTGTTAGCCGTGTTTTTAGTATGGCAGAACTGTTGCACGCTTACCTCTTGACCCAGACACTGATAGCAAACAAGACACTGGTGACTGCCAGCACCTTCCAGCCCATCTTCTTGCGGTCATCCATCTCTGGCTCAGCAGTCCAGTTCAAAAACTCGACGACGTCCTTGGCCATCTGCGAAGTTGACGCCTTGGTGCCGTCATCGTATTCGACCAAGTCGTCGTAAAGCACACGGGCCATGGCAATACCGGTACCGGGGAAGTAGGGGTTGAAGTTGAGGCCTTCTGGGACAACAGCACCCGCGGGTGGCTCTTCGGGGTAGCCGGTCAACAAGCTGAAGATGTAGTTGCAGCCACCGTGGCGGGCCTTGACCATGAGTGATAGATCCGGAGGCAGAGCACCGTTGTTGGCAGCGCGGGCGGCTTCGTCATTCTTGTAGGGTGAGGGCATGTAGTCGGACAGCTTTCCGGGGCGCTTCTCGATCTCGCCCTGGTCGTTGGGCTCGGTGTCGTATTCGTTCTCTTCGGCAAGGGCCTTGGCCTCGTCGACAGTCATGAACTTTCCGACGACGGCTCGGTAGGGGACACGGGAGATGGAGTGGCATGATGCGCAGACCTCGCGGTAGACCTGGAAACCACGGCGGAGACTGGTGGTGTATTAGATATATGCGCATGTGCAGGGCTGCGAGGGTAGACGTACGCGCCGTGGTCAAATGTCTTGTGCCACTTTTCGTGCTCCCATGGGTATTGAGTCGGGTGTAGACTGTAGTTTGACATGGTCAGTTTGCGGTTCCCGGACTTCGATGTCATATGGCCAAGTGAACGGCGGGACCCACTCACCCTTCTTCCGCAGGAGTCATGGCATCAACATTGCGTCCGTAGAGTTGCCAGTACCAGGCAGTCGAACCGATCGCGAAGATGGTGGCGGCAGCGGGGAGGGCGTTGTTCTTCCATGCGGAGCCAGCTCCCTCGGCGGAGCTAGATGTCGAGGCGAAGCGCTGTATCACCCAATCCGTCAGCCAGACATTCAATTGCAGCGAGGGGAATCTTGGGCATAGCAAGGATGCCAGAGATGAAGCGGATGAAGCTCGCGGGCGCTGAATGCGTGGGCCGAGCCCTGTGGGATGCGTACCGAAGCTGGCTTGTTGGTGGCATTGCGAGCCGCGGCGCCGGCGGTGCGTGCGGTACGCAGTGCTGAGCGAGCCAACATGGTGGTTTGTAGCTGGCTCGGAGCAATTGGGAGAGTGGATCAATGGGTTGTCGGCGGTGGTGATAGTGGTGTGGGAGTCTTGTTCGGTCGCAACTTCTTCGCTCAAGGCTTGGCGAGACCTAATCAAGTCAGCATCCGCTGTGATTGGCCGACACGCCGCATCATCTGCGTGTATATTGTGCGAGTGCGAGCAGAGCAGTGAGGCAGTTCAGCCCTGGCTTTTCACTACGCGGATGATGCCGATCGCCGAGCTTGCAGAGGCATTCTTTGTTTTCGTCAACTTCGAGATGGCAATGTTTGGCATTTGGCACATACAATCGCACAAGTCCAAATGCGGCGCAATGTCGTGACAGTGGCTAACATCGACCACGGCAAACTTCAACTACAATCACGCCTGCAGATACAATAGTAGACACAATGACATGAAATGCCCAGTGGCGTGAAGTGGAAATGGATAACGTCATCTTCTCATGGCACCTGACGAACAATGGCAAGGTTGGAATGATACCAACCAGCGACGGCGTAGCTAGGTATGTAGCACTGCTTCTATACCCTTTTGCTCATGCAGGAATTGCAAAAGGGCTCAAACGAGGGCTGGCTTCTCTCTAGCAAGGACTGGTAACTTAACCAGAACACACAGCGTCTCTGCGGGGTGAAGAGGGCTGGGAGGACTTCCTTGCGGTTTGTGAGAGAAAAGGAAATGGTGCCTGGTCGGCGATCGCTTTTCTTTGGTTTGCGCAATTAGGACACGGGCAGCACAGCGGCATGTGCGTTTTCCCTCGTTTGCGCGCAGGTCATTCATTGCCTTACAGAATCTGCGCGGCCAATCGCAAGAGCGTGCTTTCATTGCAGCACGACGTGTAGGAAGGCATTAGATGCACTGCTTCAGACAAAATGGCTCTAGGCATTTGCTGTCGAGGCCTGCCTTCACCGCACCCTTCCGCAGTCGGCTGAAGCCTCGCCGGACCCTACTGCACACGCTCACGAGCCCCACGAACAGTACTCGATACCCCGCTACCCTTGCCCAGCTGCAACACCCACCGACTCGCTCTACTTCGTCGCTGCCTGCCCGTCACCCTGCCACCGTTCCCGTCCGGTACTGCTCGCACAGAAGAAACATGTGCAAACACTTCGGTACTGAAGGGCAATCGTCCATTGACATTACCAAAGGCCGCGAGGTGTTGCCTACAAATGTCAAGCCCTTGCACTACGACTTGACCCTGGAGCCAGACTTTGGCAACTTTACCTACCAAGGCACCGTCACCATCGAGTATGCACTTCGCCCATGGTAGCACAAAGATGCTTGCTGACATGCTACCAGTCTAGATGTCGTTGACGACACCACATCCATCACCCTAAACACCAACGAGCTCAAGATCAGCTCGGCCAAGGTCACTACTGGCCAACAAGTCGTCACCGACTCTCCCACTCTTACCAGCAACAATGATGCTCAGACAACAAAAGTCAGCTTTGACCAAAGCATTCCCAGTGGCAGAAAGGCCCAGCTCACCATGGCTTTCTCCGGCATCCTGAATGACAACATGGCCGGCTTCTACCGCTCATCCTTCAAGGCCGAGGACGGCTCCACCACATATATGGCAACAACACAGATGGAGCCTACGGATGCCCGGCGCGCATTCCCCTGCTTCGACGAGCCCGCCCTCAAGGCAAAGTTCACAGTCACGCTCATTGCCGATGAGAAGATGACATGCCTGAGTAACATGGACGTGGCATCTGAAAAGCAAGTCGACAGCGCAGTCTCGGGAGGAAAACGCAAAGCAGTCACCTTCAACCCCACACCACTCATGTCGACCTACCTCTTGTGCTTCATTGTCGGAGAGCTCAACTACATTGAGACCAATAACTTCCGTGTCCCCGTACGAGTGTATGCACCAAAGGATAGGGATATTGAGCATGGCCGTTTCTCTCTCGAGTTGGCTGCCAAGACGCTGGCATTCTACGAGAAGACATTTAACAGCCCATTCCCCCTGCCCAAGATGGATATGATTGCCATTCCCGACTTCAGTGCCGGTGCCATGGAAAATTGGGGTCTCATCACATACCGTGTTGTGGATGTACTAATCGATGAGAAGGTCAGCGGTGCGGCTGTCAAGCAGCGCGTAGCCGAGACCGTGCAACACGAGCTCGCACATCAGTGGTTCGGCAATCTGGTAACCATGGACTTTTGGGATGGCCTGTGGCTTAACGAAGGATTTGCGACATGGATGTCATGGTACTCATGCAACATCTTTTACCCGGACTGGAAGGTCTGGGAAGGTTACGTGACCGACAACTTGGCAGGCGCACTTTCACTCGACTCGCTACGTAGCAGTCATCCTATCGAGGTACCCGTGAAGCGTGCCGATGAGATCAACCAGATCTTTGATGCCATCTCGTACTCCAAGGGTTCAAGTGTCATCCGTATGATCTCAAAGTACATTGGAGAGGAGACCTTCATGGAGGGCATTCGTCAATACCTCAAGAAGCATGCATACGGCAACACAGAGACAGGTGATCTTTGGGCAGCCCTGGCTGATGCTAGTGGTAAAGACGTTGGCAAGGTCATGGACATCTGGACCAAGAAGGTTGGCTTTCCGGTAGTGACTGTCACCGAGGGCACAGGCTCTATTCATCTCAAGCAAAACCGCTTCCTTCGCACCGCCGATGTCAAACCGGAAGAGGACCAGACCCTGTACCCAGTCTTTCTCGGTCTGCGAACCAAGGACGGCGTCAACGAGGACTTGACGCTCTTTGATCGCGAAGCCGATTTCAAGCTCAAGGACCTTGACTTTTTCAAACTCAACGCAGACCACTCTGGTCTTTACCGCACGTCATATACACCAGAGCGTCTAGGTAAACTTGGCGTCGCCGCAAAGCAGGGTCTATTGACTGTTGAAGATCGTGCTGGCATGATCGCTGATGCGGGATCGCTGGCCGCATCTGGTTACCAAAAGACGTCTGGTATACTCTCACTGTTGGACAGCTTCAAGAGTGAATCAGAGTTTGTAGTATGGGGAGAAATCACCGGTCGCATTGGTTCGCTGAGAGGCGCATGGATGTTCGAGGACCAAGAGGTCAAGGATGCATTGAAGAAATTCCAGTTGGAGCTCACTGCAGACAAGGCTCACGAGCTGGGATGGAGCTTCAAGGACACAGACGGTCACATTGAGCAACAGTTCAAGGGCCTCATGTTTGGTGCTGCTGGTATCGCTGGTGACGAACAAATTACCAAGGCATGCTTCGACATGTTTGAGAAGTTCAAGGCGGGCGACAAGTCTGCCATTCACCCTAACATCCGCGGTAGCGTATATGCGATCGTTCTGTCAAACGGTGGTAAGGAAGAGGTAAGCAAATTTCTCATTGACGTAAAAGTGGTACCTATACTTACACTCTACAGTACGACGTGGTGGTGAATGAATTCCTCAACGCCGCTACGAGCGATGAACGCAACTCAGCTCTCCGTTCGCTTGGTCGTGCGAAGTCACCCGAGCTCATTCAGCGCACACTCGCCATGTCTCTTAGCGACCAGGTCAAGGGCCAGGACATCTACCTACCCATCTCAGCATTGAGGTCGCACCCAGAGGGTTGCTATGCGCTCTGGACTTGGGTCAAGGACAACTGGGAAGAGCTTGAGAGGCGGTTGCCTCCTAGCTTGAGCATGCTAAGCTCCGTTGTATCCATTACCACGTCTAGCTTCACTCACCGCGAGCACATCAAGGAAATTGAGGAGTTCTTCAAGACCAAGAGCACCAAGGGCTTCGACATGTCGCTATCTCAGAGCATTGACGCTATCAGCGCGAAGGCAGCATGGCTCGAGAGGGACTCTGAGGACGTCAAGTCTTGGCTGCGCGAGCACAAGTACTTGCAGTAGACGTACACTGCCCCTACGCGCGGCAAGCCACGGATGATGAAAACAAGCGACTACGAGATTAGATGGCTATCGGAATCACTGTCTGCAAGCACGTCAAGTCGAAGACTATAGAAGAATATACTTTCGAAAAGAGCACGCTCAATTCAAGTTGAGTCAACGTAATCTTGAAAATTCGTTGTGACGCATGCCGAGTGAAGTGATTAGTCCGAGCTAACGCAGACGACATGGTGGGGCTGCATCGATGCTGAAAGGGTGCCTGGTGGATCTGCAACGTCAGCCTTCGCAACGCGCATGCGGGCGAACATGTGAGAATGGTAAATTGAGCATGGGCAGCCATGGCTCCCAACATAACTCCTGCTGCGTCTTGCAGTACCTGACCACGCCCTCGGTCCCTTCGCCCTTGCAATTGGCCCACCCACTCGCTCAAAACTCAACGCTGCGTCAACTGCTGCCGGCTTCCGAGCGGAGCAGCACGCCACAGTCTATGCATTCGCCATAACTATCCGGGAACCTTGTCGCGCATATCCTCTAAAACTGCGACTGTATGCCGGGAAGATTCGTACCGCGCATCATGTCGCAGGATATAGTGCCACCAGAGTCGCGCGCAGACGTGGAGGGAGAAGAGCTCGAACCGTTGCGCCGCTCTCCGCACCCATATCTGCGCCACAGGGACCAAATACGCAGACACTCACCAAACCGAAGCGATGACCTAATTCCTCAGGAACAGACGCCGTACGGAACCGAAGATGACACGATGCACGAGGACGACGGCAGAAAGCGCCGGAGACCGACATCGCAGTCACCCAGCGAAAGCGGCACCGAGGCAGACGATGAAGGCTGTAGCCTTGTGAAAGCGCTACCCGCTCCACCCTTACGACCGCACAAGGGCCTTCGCGATCCGCGAGCCTACGGGCCAGAAGAATGGGCGGCGACCCCTCTCCTGACCCCAACGCAAATCGACGACGAGGGGAGGAGGTTCTCGGACCGCTTCCTTAACAACAAGGGAATGCGCAAGGGCGACATATATCACACTGATGAGGAAGCGAGAGTCGCTCGACAGAAATACCTACAACGGCGGCGGAATGAGCTTCTTAGGAGGACTACTGAGACTATTCTCCTGGCTGGCATTGTGGTCCTTGCAGTCCATGGATGCGCATGCTGGGCCAGGCTGCTCGAATGGCACAGAGGTTTGCACCCTATCAGGTATATGCTGGGCTATGTTGACACTGATTTAGCAGAACTGTTGACTCACGTGGCGGTTTTGGCGGCCGTCTTGGGCTTATATCCTCTTCGTCTCATGTACTATTCATGGAAAAACCAATCGCGTCTCAAACTTGGTCAGCGAATACATCTACCAGCAGCCTTCGATCCAGCAACCATGCTCTATCCTCCAGTGTTGCCCGTCCTCATTGCAATATCACTCTTTCCCTCATCACCGAAGCTTCTTCTGCCGAACTTGTTGCTTGGATTAGCCGCATTACCGGCTAGGGTAATTCCTTTCAAAAGCTCAGTCTTGGGCTACTCACCGCTACACTGGCTTCTTTCTATTCTGCCTCTGATTGCAGCAGGAAGCACTATCATCCCTTCTTGGCCACTTGCATCGAAACCATACAGGCTCGAGCTGCCGCCGGGACAACAGGACCTGGATCCAGAGCTATTGGTCACACTGTTTCCTTTATATCAGGCCCTTCTACCCCCGCTATACTACCTTACTACAACAAGTCTCCTACCCACCGAGCTCCACTTACTCTCCATTGGGCTCATCAACCTCTTTTTATTTTCCGAATCGCCACAGGCAATCATACTCATGGTATTGTTGTGGCTGGGTGGACTCGGCGTGTTCTTGCTGTGCGGCAAGGTCCTTAAATGGGGCGTCGCACTTGCACGCATCCCACGTTGGAGGCTCCGACGCGCCGGACAGGTCATTCGAGCGCGTCAAAACTTTCTACAGGTGCTGAACCAGAGTCTAGGGGCAAAGAACCGTGGAAACAGTAAGGGAAGGATGAGTGACAGTGATGCCGACGACGACGAAGCCATGCCTTTGCACAAGACCAAGAGCCTGAAGCTCAATATTCTAGACTCTGTACGTGGCAACAGGGAATCTACAAAGGGTACAGAGCCGCAATCAGCGGTCGAAGCTGCAAAACCGGACTCGCTGAATTTACATGACAGCACAGAAGGAAGGCCGAGTCTTGGACGTAAGCGCAGAAATACACTTCCTGTTCTTACAGCCGAGGATCACACGTCACAACATCGATACGCAAATCGAAGGCGCACGACATCTATTGCACAGTCTTATCTATCGCTTACACCTAGCCAAGCAACAGCAAGACAGTGGCTTTATGCTGGCTACTTCTATGTCGTGGTTGTCGGCTTGATACTTGGACCGATCCGATATGCTATCGGCAAGTATGCTTTGCATGACCATGAGCCGTTCGGATGGGCAATCGGCTACCTATTTGGAAACATACCGGATGTGCGGTGGAAGGTATTTACATGGAACCTGGACTGGTGGATTCCCCTACCCGCAAGACTGGATTCCGAAGCCTCATTCAACTACGGTGAAGAGCTGCCAGTCGCGCAATATGTTCGCCAAGTCATGTTGGGGGAAGCGAATACGCGTTTAGTGCTATGCATATATTGTGCTGGCACCATTCTTGTCGGCCTTATTTCAGTCTTTTCTCTATCTGCAGTTGTCGAGGTCGATACTCGGCGCAAGGTCTTTCACGGCACCATGGTGGCCATGCTGCTGCCGACCATGTACGTGGACCCTTGTTTTGTCGCGCTGGCTCTGGCGCTTGTACTGGCGATTTTCATCCTACTCGACCTAGTTCGTGCTTCGCAGCTACCTCCGCTGTCCAAGCCCATTGCCAGATTCCTCACGCCATACGTCGATGGACGCGATCTACGCGGGCCTGTGGTGGTTTCGCACATGTTTCTTCTCATTGGCTGCGCGATACCGCTTTGGCTCTCACTGGCAGGCGTGGAACGGAAGGGAGACTCGCCATGGCAGGAGTGGGATGTCAAGGACCGGGATGTCAGCATGGTCGCCGGAGTAGTCTGCGTAGGCATGGGTGATGCAGCCGCGTCCCTTGTCGGACGCCGCTACGGACGTCGCAAGTGGCCGTGGGCGGGGGGAAAGTCGCTCGAGGGATCCGTAGCTTTTGCAGTCGCCGTCACTGTGGGGCTTGTCTTTGGCAAGGCATGGCTATGGGCGGGCTGGGGACATGGTCAGGCAACGAACGGGTGGGCGCTGGAGACAGCGGTCACGGTGGGCAAAGCGGCTCTTTGTGCAGCAGGTGCGAGCCTCAACGAGGCGGTGCTCACAGGCGGCAACGACAACGTGATCGTGCCCGTCATACTATGGGTACTTGTGAGAGGGGTCAGGCTGTAGCAGTTGGGCTCGGGGGCGCATCATGTGGGATGCAGGTACCGTGCTGGCTACGTCATGATGGGGGTAGATGAGGACATGAATAGACATCAGCATAGCTAGTATTGCATCTTGCACCGCCATGTGCAAAGTAGAAGGGCATTTGAGCCAACACGGCCACATGACGGCCTGTTTCGGGTCTCGCAGGCGTTGTGGGCGGACAGTCAAGGCCGCCACGGGACGTCAATGTCTGGCGCGTCGCTAGACACTGAGGGCAGCCTAGGGCGGGCGCTGGAGCCTTCACGCGTCGTTATCAGTTTATCAGCGCCGAGCTAGCGGCGCGCTAAGCTTTCCCCATGACTGCACACCCTCACTCCCGTCTCCACGGCTCCATCTCGCTGCACGCACCCTCCCTCTACTCTCTCCTCGCCTGGCTTCTATTGCCTGTACCAGTCTCGTACCTACCATCTACCTCTGTCGCTGTCGCTGTCGCTGCTATCCTTGACCCATTTCATCGCGCCGCTTCAACCTCTCGTCCTCGGCCTCTCGCCATACGCCCACTCGCCTACTCACCCATTCACTGTCTCGTCTTCGCCGCTTGCCTCGTCGACACCTCTGCCTTGCCGCCGAAAGCCCATGTCCAACGCGCTTACGGCGACATTGTACCCGCATCTTTGCTGGTAGCTAACTGTCAAAGCATATAGGTTGCAAGGCCCGCGCCTGGCTAAGGCCCGCGCCCGCCAATATGGCAACACCACCTAACACACACACCCCGCGCCGGTCGGCGGCATCGCCGTCGTCTTCTTCGGCCGCTGGCGGTGCTGCGCCCGCCGAGCACATCATTGGCAAGTTCAAGCGCATGCACCACATTGGCAAGGGCAGTTTCGCCGAAGTCTACCGCGGCATTCATATTGTATGTTACAACCGCCTGTTGTCTCGACATGCTCCCGCTGACAAGACATGTCTATGTAGGAAAAGCGCCAATCCGTAGCCATCAAATCGGTCAATATGAACAAGCTCAACAAAAAGCTCAAGGACAACCTAGTCTCTGAGATCACCATACTGCGCAGCCTGCACCACCCGCATATCGTGTCCCTCATCGATTGCCAGGAGGCCCCCTCACGTATGCACATCATCATGGAGTTCTGCGAGCTCGGCGACTTGTCAGCTTTCATCAAGAAGCGCACAGACCTGGTCAACCACCCCCAGACACAGCGCATGATTGAGAAATACCCAAATCCCTCAGTCGGTGGCCTCAATGAAGTCGTTGTCCGTCACTTTGCCAAACAAATGGCCAGTGCCCTGGAATTCCTGAGATCAAAGAACTACATTCACCGCGATTTGAAGCCACAGAACCTGCTCTTGAATCCATCATCAATGTTCTACTCGCAGAGCGGGACTCTGGAACGCATGCCTCTGGCTGCTAGTGCTAACTCCTTGATCCCGGCTACAGGCATTGCCTCGCTGCCAATGCTCAAGATTGCGGATTTCGGCTTCGCTAGAATTCTGCCGACAACCTCGCTGGCTGAAACCCTCTGTGGCTCTCCCCTCTACATGGCTCCGGAAATCCTGCGATATGAAAAGTACGATGCAAAAGCAGATCTCTGGTCCGTCGGTACAGTACTGTTCGAGATGATGTGCGCTCGTCCACCATTCCGGGCAAACAACCATGTCGAACTGCTGCGTAAGATTGAGGAGCGCAAGGACCAAGTCCGATTTCCAGAAGGTCTTGTCTGCAGCAGGGCCATGAAGACCCTAATTCGAGCCCTACTAAAGCGGAAGCCAACCGAGCGCATGTCCTACGAGAGCTTCTTTTCCGATCCCGTCATCCGCGAGGAGATCCCCAACATGGTGGACGAAGATCTGCCAAGCTCTATGCAAGCTTCGGAGCGCATGCAAATCTCCGCCTTGGAACCACCAGTTGAGCCACCCAGGAGAGCACAGAAAGCTCCGATGGACATGGATCGACGAGCACCGGACAGCCCGTACTCTCAGTCACCACGAACTAGGGCTGGTTTCGGCACAACGCCTCCGCAACCGCGCTCCCGACCTGTTTCAGGCAACTACTCGGGAACCCCACTGCAGCCTGTTTCTGCTCGGAGACATAGCAACGCAGCAATCGAACCAAGCGACGAACGCATACCACATCGCGAGCAGCAGCGACGGCCAACTTTGACCAACGCTGCGACTGCACCCGTGCGCCCCTCGACATTGCAAGACCAAGCGACCCCAGCTAGTGCTGTCACTCACAGGCGAAAGTACTCTCGTGACGATCAAGTACCACCGCCGACCGGCCTCAAAGAGCATCTTGATCGAGAGCGCATACCGCAGAGAGCTGAAGCAAACGTCTTGAGAGAAGCGGCAGAGCGTGCTGCACAAGACAATGCGCTTGATGAAGGCTTCGTGTTTGTCGAGAAGCGACGTGTGGAGATTGACGCACTCGCAGACGAGATTGCCAATAGTCCTCAAACGCGGGATCGACCCTTTAGTAGGGAAACTGCTATCAAGCGTCGGTCTACCACACAAGGATCGCCTACATCTACAACTGGTGCAGTCCCTTCGAAAGCAATCCAAATTCAGCCGAAGCCAACCATCACGCACCAGCGCACTGGATCTTACAGTCGACGACAGTACCGCCCAAGCTTCGAGACGGCTACCTCTGCTCTGTCCAAGGCCATGAATATGGTCAACATCCGTGGACTCGGTCTTTCCCCGCCTGTCATGAAGGGAGTCTCGCCCCCTCAGGGATACTCTGCTTTCCCAGCATATCCCACTGCACAGAGCAGCTTATTGCTGGTTAGTGACGGTGGCAAGACGGTCACCAAAGACGACGATACCATGACGGTGAAGAGGATTGAGGATCTGGCACAGCTCAGCCATGTTGTCTATGGATTTGCCGAAGTCAAGTACAGCCAGTTGGTTCCTGTCGCGCCTAGTGATCCCGCCCTGGGTGCAGGCCCTACTGGTGTTGCTCGGAAGCCAAACAGCGACGTGATTGACGACGACGAGGATGACGAGGATGATTTGACACCTGATACTGTCCTCATCATCTCCGAAGAGGCTCTGGTCCTGTTCGTCAAGACGCTGGCAATGTTAAACAAAGCCATGGACCTGACTGGAAGCTACTGGAACAGGACTCGTCGCAATAGTGGTCCCGACAGCGCCAACCGTACCAACGCCAAGCTTGGCCAGGTTGTTTCATGGATGCGCGACCGATTCAACGAATGCTGTGTCAAGTCAGAAATTGTTGCACGCAAACTCAAGCAAGCACAGCAGCAACTACCCGTCGACCACCCAAGCCATCCTCAGAACCAATCAGCAGCGTCTGGATCTGCAACAGCCGTTGGCTCTGCCGAGAACATTCTTCTTACCACTGGTGTCACCGCCGAGAAGCTCCTCTATGACCGTTCCCTCGAGATGAGCCGCCAAGCCGCCATCGACGAACTCACCGGCCACAACCTAGCAGACTGCGAAATTAACTACTGGACTGCCATCACCATGCTGCAGGCTGTGTTGGAAGAAGAAGAGGATTCGCCCAGCGATAAGGCTGACGGAGAAGAAATCAACGGCCTTGACGGTGAGGACCGACGGTCGATTCAGAAGCGTAAGTTATCCCACCCATCTTTAAGTCTATGTGCAATAGCTGACAAAAACTATTAGTCCTCGAACAGATGCGAAGCCGACAGCGCGCGCTTAAGAAGAAACTCGATATCCTCAAGACACAGAAACGCGCTTCCATTACTAGTGCTCATGCTTCTCCTCATTACCCTTCTTCCATGGGCAGGAATTCGCCTTCCCCGTATAGTGCTGGTACTAGTGCTGCTGCTGGTTCGCTGAAATGAAAACGGCGGACGCATCCTACTTCTACTCCACTCTTCTGTCCATTTGGTGTTAAGCATGCGGCATTTTCATCGGCGCTCAAGGACGGTCAGGGTCGGTCTGGGTAACCTTTCTTCTGTGGATTTGGCTTCTTCACTTCATTCGGGTGTTGGATGTCCCTCTTCCCTTCTTTCACCCTCCTTTCCACCTGGCGGTGGTTTAGGACTACATTTGTAATGCGAGCGCCCTTTTTTCTTTGCATCTCATCGCACAGGCGCAATCATACCAGGTTCCTCTTCTTGTTTGGGAAGGGAGCTTGGAAACAGAGAGGAGAGGGAGATACAGACAGCGATCAGCGTACCTTGTCTCCTCTCTCTCTCTCTCAGATATTTTGCTGGTTTTACATTCCTTTTCTTCATTCCTTGCTTTCTTGCTGGCCTTGTCACAGCCCAGCTCTTCTTCATTCCTTTTGCTGGGTTTGCCAGCTTCTTCATTTGGATCACACGATCACGTTACGGGAGCTTTTGCTCATGCATCATTGCGGTGTTTTCTTCTTCTTCTTGGAAATCTAGGGCTGGTGTACGTGGGAGTACAGCGTATGGATAAGGGGACGGGTACGTGGGAGTTTGGTGCTTGCGTGGTTAGTGGTTAGTGTTTATTGGGCAATCGGAGTTGGATTTCAGACTCTGCGTGGGCTGGGCTGGTGTCTTGTGATGGCAATGCGGGATTAGGATGTGGGATATAGGATGCGGGTTAGGATAGAATAACACTTTATGCTACGAATCGAAATGCATTGCATGACTGAAGCAAGTGGGATTGATAGATATTTGAGATGCTTGTGTGTGTACTTTTCTGTGTTTGTTCTTGGATGTGTGTATATCGGTCAGCCCACGAGAAAGCTTTACGAAACCGAAATACTAATAATCTTAATATCCTCCTCAGGCTTCTCCTTGTATACTTTGGCATTCTCAATCTTATGCACGACATCCATGCCCGCAATCGCGCGACCGAAAATTGTATGCTTGCCATCAAGCCAAGGCTATCACAACTGTTAGCAAAATCACCCTGTGAAACCCCTTCTCCCAACAAAATAGATGAGAATGTTATACTCACAGCCTTCTCCGTTGTAATAAAAAACTGACTCCCATTACTATCCCTCCCTGCATTTGCCATACTAACCGTATACGGCCTATCATGCTTCAAGCCCCCACCAAACTCATCTTCAAACTCTTTCCCCCAAATACTTTCACCGCCGGTACCATCGCCCAAGGGATCACCCGTTTGAATCATGAATTTGCGAATTACACGGTGGAAGATGACGTTGTTGTAGTAATTGTTTCGGGCGTGCGTTATGAAATTCAGAACGGCTTTGGGGGCGGCGGATGGGAAGAGCCGGATTGTTATGTCGCCATAGGTTGTGTGTAGGATAGCTGTTGTTGCGTCTGTGGAGGAGGGGCCGGAAGAAGAGTTTTTGGAGGAGGAGGCGGAAGGGCGGGGTTTTTCGTTTACGATGTCGCGGGTTGATTTAGAAAAGGCGGTGTCGTTTGTGTACATGTAGAAACGCTGCTTGTGACACGCGGTTGAGACGAGCATTGCGTCGCGGGCTTCGGCTTCTTGCAGCAACGGGTTATCACTCGCTGCCATTTCAACGGTCACAACACCCTTTTTCTCCGGCTGGCCTTGGTACAGGGTTAGGTGTAAAGGGCGGAGTGCGGATTCTTCCAGGCCGTAGAGTTTGGAGAGTTTGTTAGTGAGGGTGCTTATGACTTTAATGCCGTACATGCTGCCGTAGAGGATGAAGTTTGAGGTTTCGTCGAAGATTACGTTGCAGAGGGGTTGCAGGGCGGGTTGGTCGTCGAGTTCGCGTTCGATGCCTAGGCGGCGCCCGAATTCCATGTCTTCGAGGTGTTGGACGGAGGTGCCGGCTTGTTGCATGCTGGTGATTGTTTCGATGGATTCGTCGTAGGTGCGGTAGAGTTTCCCGGTTGCGAAGTCGAAGATGCGGATTTTGCGGTCGGGGAAGGAGAAGGTTGCGAATTGGTTGCCGGTTGGGGAGATGGTGAGGGATGAAGGGACACATTTGGATTTTTTGAAGTCGAAGAGGTTGGTGGAGCTTTTGAGGGACCAGACGTTGTCTGGCTTTTCGTAGTTTCCATTTGGCTTCCAGTATTCAACCATGCCTCCCTTGTCGACACTCACAACACAGTCGTAGTGGTTGTTGTACGCCATTAGGGTGACGGGGACCCTATGTATGCTCTTTAATGTTTGGAGCGGCTCCGGATTTTCTCCTCTGCCATCGTATATCCGGATCCAGCTGTTCTCTTCTGAACTCACAGCTAACTGAGGGAAGCTTGCGCCGCGACCGTGGACCCAGCAAACGGCCTTGGGCACATACTCGACGGTGAGCATGGCCAGCAGATCGAAAGTTATGACATCAAAGATGTTGATCGTCTTATCTACACCTGCCGTCGCAAAACTACGGCCATCAGCGCTCACGCTAACAGAGGTAATGTCGCTGATGTGTGCCTTGAACTCCTTGACAAACTCAATACCGCCAAAAATCTTTCTTCCAGAACTTGACGACACCATCATTGGAACTTGTGATGAGAAAGTCCGTGTGTGGGGTAAAGGTGGTAAAGCATAGTTGCTCGCGATGCATGAGCGATTTGGAGTACCGGGTTGCGCTGGGTAGCGCAGCAACGTAGAGCTTCTCATATGGCAGCTTTCGCTTCTTTTTCTTTGGGGCCGACGAAGGAAGGGCAGGGCCGAAATCATCGTCATCTGAAGAGGTGTCGTCTATGCGCCATCATGTTAGCCAGTCGGGCGCGTGGGGTGCAAGGGACCAGTACCATGCGATGCTTGCGCAGCAGAGTTTTGAGCAGGCGCGGCGCTTTCAGTCTCCATTTCGTCGCGAGACCGCTTGGCTTTCGTCGGCGACTGCGATCCGTCATTCATATCCATAGTTACAGTACAGATTATGGCGTGGGCGTGTCAACTGTGAGTGCCAAAAACTTGTCCTTGGCCGGGCACTATACGACGGGCAGGAACGAGGCGCGCTTCCACGTGCTCGGGGCAGCTAGTGCGGATACGTCACAGAGCCGCGTACCATCACATGTATAGGCAGAGACAGGATTAAACATGCATATTCTGAGTTTATTATATTCAATCCCAGGCTGTACTTGAGCGCACCATTCGCGTGCTGTCTCGTAATATCGTACACGATGCCATGATGCTAACCCCTAACAAGCTACAACTTTTGGTAATCCAGCTTGCCTTCCAGCTTCTTCGATTCGGCCATCTTTCGAACCGCCTTGTTGAAGTCGTCTTGGTTGATTGAATCGCGATAGTCTTTGATAGCGAAGAGACCGCTGTATTTTGTTAGCTATGCTCTATTCATACAATCACATTTACTTACGCTTCTGTGACGACGTTGCGCAAATCGGCACCGTTCATGCCGTCGCTCATCTTGACAATGCTCTCAAAGTCAATCTCGCCATCTGTCACGACACTAGCGGAGTGAATCTTGAGAATCTCCAGACGTCCTACTTCGTTTGGCAGAGGAATCTCGAGCTTGCGGTCGAGACGACCAGCACGGAGTAGAGCCGGGTCAAGTGTATCCGGTCGGTTGGTGGCCATGATGATCTTTGTCTGTCCGAGGTAGTCGAAACCGTCAAGTTGGTTGAGTAGCTCCATGAGTGTTCGCTGAATCTCACGATCGGCTGATGTACCCTCGGAGAATCGACGTCCGCCAATGGCGTCAATCTCGTCCATGAAGATGATGCAGGGCTCGTGCTCCTTTGCATAGCCAAACATCTCGCGGATGAGCCTAGCCGACTCACCAATGTACTTGTCGACAATGGCCGATGAGACAACCTTGAGGAAGTTTGTCTCGAGACTGCTCGCCACAGCACGTGCCAAGAGCGTCTTTCCTGTACCGGGTGGGCCGTATAGCAGCACTCCCTTGGGTGGCTTGATGCCTACTCGTAGGAAAAGCTCTGGGTTCTTGAGGGGTAGCTCAATAACCTCACGCAGCTCGCGAATCTGCTCGTTCAGACCACCGATTCCACCGAAGCTAACCTGTCCAGGGTCCTCCAATGACATGTTGTAGACGAGCGGGTCGACTTCGCGGGGAAGCATGCGCATTATGGTGAGCGTGGTCATATCCAGTGCTACACGCGTGCCTTGCTTGAGCTTCGCCTTGTCGACCTTTGACCGGCAACCGACTACGTACCGCGGCCCTGACGAAGCCTTGACAATGACTAGCAGAATCAGTATATATCTTTCCTCGACATCACGTGTGACGTACATCGCTCCTCATCCAGCTGCTTGAGCACTTCGCCTATTATCTGTCCGACACTCTGCAGCGCCTTGATGTTGTCTTCGGACACGTCAAAGTCATGTTGAAGGCCCTTGATATCCAGTCGCAACGCCTTTAGCTTAGCCTCCCATTCCCGTGACTCTAGGAGCTTGGATTTGTATGCCTCGAGAGCGTGCTCGCGTTCCTGGTCGCTACTGCCGCTCATGGTGGTGGGCTGCGGAGTGAGTGACGGAGTTGACGGTCGCTATTTGCTATTGATATAATGACCGGTATAAGCTTCGGCGACGGTCGTGCTGCGGATTCGGGTGGGCGATGTAAGATGAGAGATGACCAGAGGAAGGAATGACCTAGTGTAGTCGCCGTTTGTCTTGATGGTGTATCCAGCGGCGGTAGAGGTGCACGGGCGCGGTGCCAAGACCTCCGCGGCGCTCGCAGCTGCCGTCGGCGTCAGAAAAAAAGTTGGCCGATCAATTTTCAGGCACGACAAAGCAAGAAGCACTCGTCTTCTCCACCGCGCCCATGTCTTCGTCCTTCTTCACCACGCCTGCTTCGCAGAGGAAGAGAAAGCGAACCAATACCACATCGAGCGCTCCAAAGAGGCGCAACACCGACAATGAAGCCCGCCGCGCCGACCGCGACGACTCCATCAGTGGGAGCGACGATTCTGATGACAATGGCGGGCCCGTTCTAGACGAATCTGACGACGACGACACATCCGAGGACGAAAACGAGACAGCGGCCGAGAAGCGTCGCAGATTAGCAGAGCGCTACCTTGACAACATTCGCAATGAGGTTGAGCAGGAGGTGGGCTTCGACGCTGAGCAGATTGACAAGGACTTGATAGCCGAGCGTCTCAAGGAAGACGTCGCAGAGGGCAAGGGAAAAATTTACCGCTCAATTGCCGACGAGCTGGACTTTGAGCAGGCCGAGCATGTCACAGGTTACTCTGGTCTACAAAAGGCTACAACAGGCTGTGCTGTGAAGCTGCCATATGCCTGGACAATAAGCAAGGACCTGGTGGTGGAGAAGTGGGAAATTGCTGATCCAAAATCATACGCCCCAGACCCAGCCCGTCCGTCCAATGTCACGCCGCGCAGGACACCCAAGCGACTGTTCTGGCGCAAGGGAAACAAGAATAAGAAGGGTGACAGGTCCTATCTTGGCCACACTGGGGAGATTGTCTCTATTGCTGTTTCTGACTCTGGGAAATATCTCGCAACTGGCGACAAGCATGCTCGTTTGATCATCTGGGATGCAGATACTCTCAAGCCGCGCCACCTATTTACTCGCCATCGCGACGCCGTTCTCTCTCTATCTTTCCGAAGGGGCACCGAGCAGTTGTTCTCAGGCGGCGCAGATCGCGCAGTTATTGTGTGGAGTGCGCCAGAGTCGGCATATATTGAGACGCTAGTAGGACATCAAGATGCAGTTGTTGGTGTTGCCGGTGGGCTCGAGACCAACCAGGAAACATGCGTCAGTGTAGGCGCTCGAGATCGTACAGCCCGTCTGTGGAGAGTGGTGGAGGAAAACCAGCTTGTCTTCCAGGGTGGAGTGACGACAAGACAAAAGGGCCTGGACAAGTTGCGCAAAGGCCGCTTTGCCAATGGCCTTGCCAAACTTGAAGAGAGGGGTGAACAACAGGACAACGAAGAAGACGCCCCTATTGTATACGCTCAAGGCTCAATTGATTGCGTTGGCCTACTGGACGCCGGCCTTTTCGTCACAGCATCGGACAATGGTGCGCTTTCATTGTGGTCTGTCAACAGAAAGAAGCCTCTCTTCACATACCCACTTACTCACGGCCGGGATCCGCCCCTATCTCCAGAACAAATGTCCGCCAACCATGATGCTGCAATCTCAGTAAAACCCGGCCCGCGACTACCACGATACGTCACAGCTCTCGCTACCGTACCCTTTGCCGACCTCATCCTCACAGCAAGCTGGGACGGCTGGATACGTGCATGGAAAATCACAGCGGACAGGAAGAGCATCGAGCCCGTTGGCAAGATTGGCTGTGTACCTCTTGACGAAGACGAATCAGAAGCCGAAGATGCAATCCTCATCCGAGGTATCGTCAACGGCCTCGCCATCCAAGAGAGAGGAGATCGAGGCAAGGATGGCTTGTGTGTTGTAGCTGCTGTAGGAAAGGAACCAAGATTAGCCAGGTGGATGTCAGGAAAAGTTAAGAACGGAATCTGCGTCTTTGAAGTACCTAGGAAACATCTCACCTCCAACGGTACAGAGGATGACGAGGAGGCGGAAAGTGGTGCTGAGGAAGCCTAGAAAGGCAGAAAAGCGAATTTTGCATTTTCAGGCGTTGACCGTTGAGTGCATCACAGAATTGATACCACAACAATCTCATTGCGCAAATCTTTACGTCTGTTAAACTTTTAATGTTATATCAAGTGTTTGGTTGTTGAAAACCCGTTCCTGGCTTTGATTAATGTTTTATACGTGACTATGATTGTGACTGCATTCCATACAGTACTTGCTTGAACCTACCCTCATCCTTCTCCTTGGAATCATTCTTCTGTACAAACCCCATCCTCATCTCCACCTCCCCAAAATAATTCGGCCCCCCAGCTAAGCGGTTAAATCCCATCTTCTCAAACAATCCCAGACTCTTCACATTGTCTTTATTTATCTTGACTCGAAGATACCTCAACCGCCTCTTCCCCTCGTCGATGCCGCCGTATTCTTCCAGCAAAGCGGTTGTTGTATCGTTGATATAGCGTGTGAATGCTTCCAGGGCTTCTTTCGCATATCCTTTTCCTCGCGCGAAGGGCGGTGCTATCATGATTTCTAGTTCGCCGATTATGTCGTCTCGGCTTTTGCCTTGCTCTTCCTGATCTTCCTCATCTTCGAACGGATACAAGAATAAATTCACGTCACCAATCATTTTCTCTGGCGCATCATCTTCTTCTGGAACAACAACAACAAGATCTTCCTGGAGAGGCGCTGGTACAAAGGACGTTGGTGCAGATGTTGGCGCTCGCAAACAAATTATAAAAGTCAGTTTATCAACGTCGGTGCGCCAGGATGTGCACATGGCGTATTCTTCAGACAGCGTGAGGGGCGTGGATGCTGTGAGGGTTTGTAGGTCCTAGATCTGGGTATTAGGATTGTGGAATGGGGTAGACGGGCAAGGAAAGGGAGTTTACCTCATCTTGCATCCAAGAGTGATAGGTGGGCACGTGGTGAGGGGAGTAGGGGACTAGGAGGAGACGTGGGGTTTGAAGGGCTGGTGGGGGATGTTAGTTGGGTTTTTGAATGAGGGAAGGGAAGGGAAGGGAGAGGAAGGAGGGAGGTACCTGTATGTTCGTTGAGTTTCATGATTGTGGTGTTTTCGATGTTAGTGATGGTGGTTTTTAGTAGTTGTAGTTGTGGATGTGTTTGGGGAATTATTCTTAAATTTCGAGTTAGTGATGGAAACCAAGGGGATTTTAGAGACGAGAAAAAATCACAAAGTCGAGAAGACTGAGACTGAGAAACCAGTCCATGGAACTACACATACCCTGAATATTCCCTGTGATTCTTAGTGTATTAAATGTTTATACGTCTGTATGTCGTTCCTAGCTTTTTTTGACTTTGTTGATCGGTTCTAGCTGTTGCGGTCCCAGAGTGGTGGGGGGGTTTAGGCGAGATGCGGGAAAGCGCCAACGGCAACGGTCTTACGGCCACAACATCTTACAGATGATCTATCTATCCATCATTCATCCTCTTCATTTGCCCCCCTAAATTTTATTGCGATAAGAAAAGACTGAAAGAGTCGGAACTTCGAGGAATCCTAATACTACGGTGACCAGGCGGGAATATTTCAAAACAAAATTTACAACACAAGAAAGAAAAATATCTATCAACTATACCTCCACCTACCCTGCAACAAACAAACATCAACAACAAACATCCACATCACTAAAATTCGCCCCCCATGGCCCAAACCAACATCCTAGTAACAGGCGGCTGCGGCTTCATAGCCACCTCAATAATCTCTGCCCTGCTCGCCACAAAACAATACAGCATAACCGCCATCGACATCAACCCCCCCTCCCTCGGCAGCACCACCTTCACACGTAGCGTCCGCTACGTCCGCTGCGACATCCTCGATATCTCCTCTCTGCGTTCTGTATTCCATGAAGCGCAGCCCGCCATTGTCGTCCACACCGTGGGGGCCTTCACGCTAGGCGCCCGGCGGTACAGTACTCGTGGCCAGGAGTTTTTGTTCAAGGTGAATGTTGACGGGACGAAGAATGTGGTTGAGGCGAGTAAGGAGTGTGGGGCAAGGGGGTTGGTGTATACGAGTAGTACGACTGTGGTGCTTGATAAATTGGATTGTGATTTTAGGAATGTGGATGAGATGTGGCCGGTTGGTGAGGTGGATACTGGGTATGGGCTGAGTAAGGTGGGTGAATATATTTTATTGTTCATATCCAGTCCAAGAAACTTCATGTTCATCAACATCAACCCTCAGCCTCGAACCACCAAAATAAACTCTAATCAACCTCCTAGTCCATAGCAGAAACCCACACCCTCACTTCCTCCACCCCCTCCTTCGCCACCACCGCCCTTCGCCTAGCCCCAACCTTCGGCCCATCAGACACCACCATAATCCCCACAATCCATGCCTGCATCGCCACTCACCAAACGTCCTTTATCCTCGGCACCGGGAAAAACCTCCAAGACTACGTTTACGTCGAAAACGTCGCCCACGCCCATGTGCTCGCCGTGTCGAACCTGCTAGGTCCGCAAACCGCCGCGGGAGAAGCGTTTTTTATTACAAACGGAGAGCCGGTTACGCTGAGGGATTTCTGTTGTGAGGTTTGGAAGCAGTTTGGCCATGTGCCTGCGTGGGAGGTTAGGGTGCCGGAGGCGGTGGCGTGGTGGGCGGGGTGGGTGGCGGAGGGTGTGGATTGGGTTAGGGGGACTGAGGGTGTGTTTAGTAGGGGGGTTGTGGGGGAGGGGTGTAGAGATAGGTATGTTTGTATTGATAAGGCGAGGGAGTTGTTGGGGTATGTGCCAAAGGTGGGTTTGGAGGAGGGGATTAGGGTCACGTGTCAGGTATGTGTTGGTGTGGGTTAATTGGGGGTTTGTGGGTCACTGACGTGTGTGTAGCATTATAAAGCGAAACTTGAGGGGCAAAAGAGAAAGTGATATGTTTGGCGTAGCTCTCGCTCATGTGAGTTGTATTGTATAGCGGCATAGTCGGAAACGTGCTGACTCGTCCTTGATCCTACACCTTGACAAGCTAGTTTACGACCTCCTCGGTTTCCTCAATAATCTCCTCCACAATCTCCTCAATCTCCTCTTGGTGTCCATCATCCGCCTGTCCGGGCGTCTCTCCCTTGAGCAACGCAAGTTCCAGGTACGCACCCTCGTCTTGCAGCCTCTGGGTAACCTCCTCGCGCCACCTACGCCATTCGTCGAGCATTTCACGACGGGCTTCCACAACAGCTTTGTTTGCCGAGCTCTTCTTGGCAACATCCTGCTCATCAAAGACCTTTGAGTAGTTGCGCAGGTTCTTACGGATCTCGGCCTGCTCTTCCTTGGAAAGCAGTGTTGGGGGTCGTGGACGCCAGAGGAGTTGCTTAAAGCCTTCAATGGCTTCTTCCCGTAGAAGCGTACCCTTGAAGTCGTAGAGGTGGTAACCGTTCTCCATCTAGTAGGTGTTAGCAGAAATCAAGTAACAAGAATAATGTGATACGTACGCGGTGACGGAAAGCACTAGCAACGGTGGCAACGTAGCGGCCGGTAGGGTCCCATTCGATGTCAGTGACACCGTAGTGCTCGGCCGTATCCATGAGTTGTAGACTGGCGTTGACCTCTTTGTCACCCTTTTCGGAATCTTCCTTTGGCCTGTCGAAGCTCATGTCCCAGAATTCGAGTTCAAACGACTGCTGAGACTGGAGGGCAGCAATGACAACGAATCGTCCCTTGGGCGACCAGTAAATGGCATTGCTGTTCTTCTTGTCGACGGTTCGGATGTGGCGGAAGTTGCCTGGCGCGCCACCCTTGAGCTTTTCAGGAGCGAAGAAAGATACGGCCGTCTTGGGACCGACAGCGGCGCCCTGAATAACCTCGCCAGTAGTGATGAGTACGAAGCGGTTGCCCTTTGGTTCCCAGGCAAAGTTGATGACGGTGTCCTTGATCGAGTCGACGACTTCAACGGGCACGCCCTTTTCGCGGACACGGAAGATTTCGAGATTTGTGGCGAGAGACTTCTTGGACTTTGAGTGGCGGTCGACCTTGACGCAGACGTAGGCGGCTTCTGATTGCCAGTGCAGCTTCGCATCAGAGACGTTGAAGAGGTTTCGGGTTCGTACAATTTCCTTGGAGGGAACGGACATGAGTCCGACCTTTGCGGGGTTGCTACCAAGCTCGGGTGTCCAGTAGCAGAAGAGCTGTTCGTATGTCTTGATGCCGTCTCTGCGGGGCGTTGCGGGAGCCCACTCAAAGTCCATGACACCCTCAATCTTGATTGACGTCTTGTCGAGGAGGTTCATGCGGGGCAACTCGTAGATGGAAATGGATTGGCCCTGGGTCATGCGCGCAACATACTTGTCGTCCGAAGACCACTTGAATGTCGGCCATTGCAGCTTCTTCTTGACGGGGTTGCCTTCGGCATCGATGCCGCCGGGAACGTCGATTGTAGCGAAGGATCGCAGAGGCTTGCCGGTAGCAATGTCCCAAATGATGTAGTTCTTGCCGTCCTCCTCGAGCGATAACGATGGGACCGGGTGGTTCTCGTCGACCTGTAGGGGGCGGTGGGACCAGGTGGTGAGGTACTGTTCGCTGGGCGAGAAGTCGACCAGGTTGACACCAGGGTGAGCGAAGCGCTTTTGGCGGCTCCATGCCTTACCACCCCAAAGCTGCACACCTTGGGCGTGCATCGAAGTGAGGTAAGTTCCTTGGGGCGACCACTGGATGAAGGACTCGGTCCAGTTCTCGCGATCCACGACCTGCTCGGGCTGGTCCTCCTTCTCGTTCCAGAAGACACCAACCTTCTCCTGGCGGTACATGGCCATTTGGTCGCGACTGTCGGGGTCTCCCAACCACCAGCGCAGATGCTCCTTTTGTTCGAATGGTGGGATCTCGGGCGGGTGGTATTCGTCGTCGATGCGGCCCTCTTTGCCGTAGCGGTCAATGTCAGTGAGCTTGTTGACAGCCATGGTGTGCTTCTTGTCGAGTGGGGTGCCATTAAGCTGCTTGACTGCAGCCACAGCCTCTGCGGGCGCGCTGTATTCGACGAAAGCATATCTGTGTCGCCGTCAGTCCTTGGTCGCTGCCTTGCCATGCGCGCAAACGCCCACGTACCCCTCCGTCTTGCCCGACTCGCTCACGGGCATGTGCACGCCATCGTCCTTGACTTTGCCCACGCTGTTAAGTTTGCGCAGCACAAACTTGACCAGCTTGCCCTTGCTGTCCTCAGGTACTACGGGCAGACCATCAATTACGACAAAGGCATCGAGCCCCTCATCAAGCCGCACTTGGAACTGGTCCTCGATATCGGTAAAATCGATTTGGCTCTCGTCAAATTCGTCGTCGCTGTCCATGGGCAGATTTGAGTATGCTGACGCCATGATTGTGTGTGTGGTTGGACCTTGTCGCCGTTCGCGTACAGATGCAACTTTCACGGTAATAATTTCGGTGGGCGCTAGTGGGGTGTATCACGTGCCGATTCCAGCTGTTGTCGTCGGCCCATTCCTACAACTTCCTCCGACGAGCAACTTTGTACATGCATCTTCTCACCACATAGCATGCCTTGCAATTACACGATGTAGTATTCAAATGACGCTGAACGTTGTATATAACCCTCACCACATGATCATGATATATCTCTCCTCATCTGAGAACACGTACCATTGATCCAACCCATCCATCTCCACCCCGGACCTCTTCACACCACCACCCATCACCACTCGATCAACATCGCCCTACCAGCGCATATTCCCAGTCAATGCACTCAAACCCGCGATCAGAGGCATTGTTGCGCGCACAGCATGATAGCGACACCACTTGTCCATGTCCCTATGCAGAGCCGATCCGGTTGTCGCGTCCATCCAACGATCACTTGAAGCTCCGATCTTGCCCTTCTCCTTGTCCAACGCCGCAATCCAGTCCTCGAGAGGAAAGATGAAAACTCTTTCCCACCATGCTACATTGAACAAAGCCGCGCTTGAGACTGCATAATATTTCCAAAGCGCAGCCTCAGAAGGATCCGGATGCCGCGAGACCAGGATGGAAATAATAGCAAGCATGAATGCAAAGGTTGCATTCGTTGGGTCTAGCCACCAGCCACCGCGTTTTGATACTTCTAGTAGAGATGCGACGGCCGAGATGGACTTGTTGAGTTTGATGATTGGAACGATCCAGAGAATGAAGCACCATGCTACGCCTATACCACATGATGGTCAGTATTGATACAGTTTTAGTATGAGATCGACAGTAAGCTTACCTGTCGCGATGAACAAACAGACGGTTATGGTCCATTGCACATAAGGCAGAACAGGGTATATGGTATCGAGTACACCCATTGCGATCAGTCCGGTAGGTTCAATTGTCGGGGGTGGGTAACCTAGTGAGATGGCCCTGAATGAGAGAAGGCTGTATGCCGACGTAAAAACAAAGGGATCGTCTCAACTTATCCTCGGAATACGAAGCATTGCCTGGGACGGTGAATGTATTCCATGTACATCGGCCTACATCAACACGTGACTCCGCGCCGCAGCGAGTCATCGGCATGTGTACAAGTCCGAGTATTGGAAGGTGTCTAAGCGTACCTACAGCATGTCTAGTCTGACCCGCATCGCTCATGTGACTATCACCAAAGAGCTTAAGTCAGGATTCCTGCGCTGACCCTAATCGTCCGGTCCAAGTCAGCGAATGAGAATTTACCCGAGCTCACTAAGGCACCTCAGGCAGCCCATTAGGCCGTCCTGCGAAACATCGGATGATCTTGGCTTCTGGCCTTGTCCGCTTACAATCAGTGACTGGCTCGTTTGGATATATATCACCGTCGTTCATCCTGAGAGGACCGGCGTATCACAGTCATCTCAAGTCTTACAAGCCTCACAATCATTCCCACCCCTCAGTCCACCATTACATCACCACAACACCATTCAAAATGACCGACTTCATCGACAATGCCACCCAAGCCTGGGGTCTCGCCGGCGCCGCTTTATTGACAGGTAAGTGTGGAGTCCCCGGATCCATAGTTCCCCATCGCCACCAAACACACATCTCCTCCGAAACCCAGATATGCTAACGAAAATTACCCAACAGGTTTTATCGCGTGCTTCAGTCACGCCGGCGTGCCCACTCTCAGCCTAGCCCCCGTCGACGTGCTCGTTCACGAGTTCAGGACAATGTACAATATTGGAAAATCAACTTCACCACTCATTGCCATCACGGCCACACTTTGCAATGGCTACTCGGCCTACCGTTTCAAAAACGATACGGCTCTAGTTGGAGGCGTCGTATCGCCATATGCTCTATATCTAGCGTCCACGGTCGTTGTGCCGCTCATTATCCCGTACACCATTTTGTACATGGAGCCAAAAGTTAACAGGAAGTTGTTGAGTTTGGGGGCGATGGTGGAGAAGGGCGCCAAGGCGAGTGACTTCAATGTTAGTGAGGCGGAGATCCGGGGGCTGTTGGTTCGGTGGAAAGGGATGAACTTTGTTCGTGCTGGACTGGTTGGCTTGGGTGCCCTGTTGACTGCTGCTGCTACTTTCCGTTAAAGGTTCCGCTTGTCCCTGCATGTAATTGTAAGAGCTAGGGTATGGCCGGTTGGAGGCGGACCATTCGATCCGTAAGTCGGGGAAGCTGGAGCCGGGCTCATGGTTGAGGGCACGTGGCGGATCCGATGAGGAAGGACGGATGGTTTCTCGGTAACTGGATATGTGGGGGTGTTTTCGGGGCGTTTTTTTCTTGACTTGAAACAACGGGTGGAGAATGGGCAGGTCAAAGGGGATGATCTGTCAATCTGTTTGTAAAATCAAAAGATAACGATATCAATATCAGAGGGCTGAGTGAATGTGATTCTTCCGAATGTTTCTCAACACATGTGTATGTTGGTGGTGTACTGGCCTTGACTGAAAGGACTCCTTGAGTCAAAAAAGTCTCGAGACCATTGACTTCTCGCCTTAGCCATTTTTCACTTGATGTGGACGTGAATAAGAAGCCCAGCCCTGAGAATTGGCCGTGTTGATACGTAGAATCGAAGTCACTGTTGAGATGTGCTTGTCCCCCAGTGACTGCCTCCAAAGCGTGAAGAATATTGTGAAAAGGTGTAACTCAACCTCTATTGAACAAAACTAATGGTATCTAAAATCTAAACTCCAAACTCCACAAATGCAACAAAACCTCTATGCACTAGCCCTTACAAACACCGAATGCGTATGCCGTAACTGTGTACTCTGCTGTTCATTTGGAACCAGGAACCAGCCCTTCCTCCCAGCCCGTACACCAAACCCAACCTTACCATCGCCAGCAAGCTTCCGTAGCACCTCGCCGATGAACGGCTCCAAAGCCAAAGTCCGCGTTGTCTCGTTGACGGAGCTTCCATACATGCGATCGACAATCATTCGAACGTTTGGCCGTCTCTCTCCCGCATCTCGCAGGTCGCGCATGGCCTGAAGTACCTGCTTCTCTCGACGGAACTTGGACATGAGTTCCTTTGATATCTTTGCGTTGAGGTCACCGATGGTTTGGCCGTGGGCGGGGTGTCCAGTTTGGCAGTTCTTGCCCATCATCTTTTGCAGACTGGACATGAAGATGCCCAAGTCCTCGACTGCGCTGGTACCTGTGCCGAGGATGTTGTCGCCAGTGAACATTGAGTTTTCCTCCTTGAGGATAAAGCACATGTGGTCTTCGGCGTGGCCGGGTGTGTGTACAGCCTGGAGTGTTGCGCCTTCGACGTGGAAGAGTTGACCGTCTGAGATGTCGCGGTGGCCGACCTCGGGTATGTTCTTGTAGATGTGGTTTTCTAGGTGGGGATAGAGGCGGAGTAGATCTGGGACTCCGCCTGTGTGGTCGCCGTGCCAGTGTGTGAGGAGGACGTATTTGATATTGATGTTTCGGGACTCTAGCGTGGATGCGAGCAGTTTTGCGTATTCTGGCTCACCGCCTGAGGTGTCGATGAGAATGCGAGAAGCGCCAGTGCCGACTAGAAAGGTGTTGGTGCCTTGCATTGTGAACTTGCCGGGGTTCTGTCCTCGTACACGCATCACCCTTGGTGTGACTTGTTCTACATCTGGGATAGGCTTCAACCCTGCTGTTTGGCCGTTGAGATAATCTTCAAAGGCGCAGATGTTGAGCGACTTGTTGATTTGCCTGTAGCCGCCCTTGTCCTTGGTGTTGCCTGAAGCCATGGACATGGTGAGGAAAGATGATTTTCGAAACGGTGTACAAAGAAGTTGTTGCAAAGGAATCGATGCGCTATCGATGTTGTCAATCTCGAATGTGGCTGGGATAGGGTGTAAGCGAGGCTGTAGATATCCAATATGGTTCGGGATATGGCGTAATTGAGGTCTGTGTTGGTGTTCGCAAGAAAGCGGTAGTCTAAGCGCAAGAAGTGAACGAACGGCTCTAGGCGTCGAAATCAACGATGCTAGGTAGGTGCATGCACAAGTTCATGCTATCAAAGTTTACTAGGCCATCGGCCCATATGTACCCCATGCGCGGTGCCAGCATTGTGTCTCGGGAAAATGGTTGGGACTAGGACGTGGTCCACCCTGGCGCGGCATGTTTGATGCTTAAATGCCCCGAAATGCCCCGCGATACCAAGGGCCGACCTCTCCCCGTCCCAAGATTACTCCGCGCCCAATCCAATCGGACCTAGCATCACAGCAACTGCAACCGAAGGAAAGGTAGCCAATTACATTATTGTTCCAGGCCATGTCGGTTGTGCAGGCATATCCAGCCATGTACGTAGGTAGTGTAGTTCTCGCGTAGTTGTCGCGCTGTTGTCGCGTAACATGGGCTACGCTGTGACTATGGCATTGCATATCCAGATTCAGCCTCATCAGATCGCGAGGATGATATGTACCGATATTCGCAAGTCGTGCAAGAGTGAGCTGATTGTGTGTGCCTATAACACTCGTTGCAGACGCACCCTTTACAACCCAGCTTCAGTTCCAATTGCTATCTCACAGTCTTTAATACCCACCTGAGTCTCAGTTCCACAGTCTCCATCTGACTCTCAGCATCCTCGTCCTTTAGTCCCCCATCAACACTCCTTCGAGACTATCGAATTTCGACACCATGGACACCATCTATTTCAGCAACGAATTCCCTAAGGAGGCTCTGCAAGATGTCTTCCGACAGTTGCACAAGGAGAGCAAGAGCAGCACCCACCATCTGCTCGCACGCTTCATGAGTGAAGCCACGAGGGCTGTGAAGAAGGAGATTGAACAGTTGCCGTCCAGCCTGAAGCAAATAATACCCCCTTTTGAGACGCTCAGTGCCTGGGCGGAGAGCAAGGAACTCCGCGAAGGTGAACTGTGTGGTGCTATCGATGGCGTTCTACTGGTTCTACTCCAGATATCAGTTTACATCTGGTAAGTCTACATCATATGTAAAGATTAGAGCCTGATCTAACATCATCATCTAGCCATGCTGAGGCTGGTGCAGAGCTTCCTACAGCCCCGCACCTATCTGCGCTTGGAGTTGGTCTCATCGGAGCTGCCGCTGTCGCCATGTCCAAGGAGCTCTCCGATCTGCCCTCCTACGGTGCTCAAGCGGTTGCTATTGCTTTCCGCATGGGCGTTCACGTTCAGGGTGTGTCTCACCAGCTCGAGGCCCGCGAGCTTGACGAGACACCCAAGACTTGGGCCTACGTTGTTCACAACATCGATCCTAAGGACGCTCAGGCCGAGCTGGAAGCATTCCACGAGGCGAACCTGACATCAAAAACCGCCAGCATATTTATCAGTGCCGTTAGCCGTACCTCAGTCACTATCAGTGGCCCACCCTCGAAGCTTGAGACCCTCTTCAAGAAGTCTAAGGTTTTCCGGGATGCACGATCAATTGCTTTGCCCGTCTATGGCGGTCTTTGCCACGCTCCTAGTGTCTACAGCACAAAGGACACACAAAAGATCATGGACGGCTTGAACACGTCGACATCCGCAACTTTGTCCAGCCAAGCTCCCCAAGCACCGCTGTACTCTACAAGCACCGGAAAGCCTTATGAGGCGGCCAACGCCAGCGGGCTGTTCTCATGCGTCGTGACCGAACTCCTGTCCAAGGCCATCGAGTGGGATCAAGTTATTTCTGGTCTGGTCAGTGCTGCTAAGTCGGCTGGAGTAACTGAGGTCAAGCTCTTCTGCTTCGGTAACTCGATCCCCCTGAACGACCTCAAGACAGCGCTTCAAGCTGCCATCGCCGATGTCAAGATTACCATTCCCAGCTTCATGACTGTTCTCAAGAAGAACGCAACTAACGGTGCTCCTCCCCGCGGTACTGCTCAGTCCAAACTCGCCATTGTCGGAATGTCGTGCAGACTTCCTGGTGGCGCCACCGACACTGAGAAGTTTTGGGAACTTCTTGAGGCCGGTCTCGATGTCTCTCGCAAGATCCCCGCTTCTCGCTTTGACATTGAAACCCACTACGACCCAGAGGGCAAGGACTTGAACAAGACCATGACTCAATACGGTTGCTTTATCGATGAGCCCGGCATGTTCGACCCCAGCTTCTTCAACATGTCTCCTCGTGAAGCCATGGCTGTTGATCCCCAGATGCGCCTGTCGCTCGTCACTGCCTACGAAGCTTTGGAGAAGGCTGGTTTCGTTGGTAACCGCACTCTTTCCACCAAACTCCAGCGCATCGGAACATTCTACGGACAAGCAGCTGATGATTACCGCGAGGTGAACCAGGGTCAAGAAGTTGGCACTTACTACATCCCTGGTGGATGCCGTGCCTTCGGACCCGGTCGCATCAACTACTTCTTCAAGTTTGCCGGACCTAGCTACAGCGTCGACACTGCTTGCTCTTCTGGACTTGCAGCCATCGAGGTTGCTTGCCAGGCTCTTTGGAACGGCGAGGTCGACATGGCTGTCGCTGGTGGTGTCAACATCTTGACAAACCCCGATGGTTTCGCTGGTCTCTGCAGGGGTCATTTCCTGACCAAGGGCCAAAACGCTTGCAAGACCTGGGATGCCACTGCTGACGGCTACTGCCGTGCTGAGGGTGTAGGATCTATTGTCATCAAGAGGCTCGAAGACGCAGAGGCGGACAACGACAACATTCTTGGTGTTGTCCTCGCTGCAGGAACCAACCACTCTGCCGAAGCTGTCTCCATCACTCACCCGCACGCTGGACACCAATCTTATCTGTCCCGTCAGATCCTCCGCCAGGCAGGTGTGGACCCTCTGGATATCTCCTACATTGAGCTCCACGGCACTGGCACCCAGGCTGGCGACTTCGAGGAGCTGAAGGGTGTTCTAGACGTCTATGCACCAAACACCTCTCCCAGTCGCCGCGCTGACCAGGTACTCCACATTGGAAGCTCCAAGTCCAACGTTGGCCACGGCGAGTCGGTTGCTGGTACAACCGCACTGATCAAGGTTCTTTTGATGCTTCAGAAGAACGCCATCCCCCGCCACATTGGTATCAAGACTGAGATCAACCCGCGTCTGCCCACTGATCTCGATCAGAGGAATGTCGTCATCCCCTTCTCCAACACTCCCTGGGCCCCTGGAAAGCGCGTTGCCGCTGTCAACAACTTCGGAGCTGCTGGTGGCAACACCATGATGATCTTGGAAGAGGCCCCTGCCCGCCCAGAACGTCAACAGAAAGACCCCCGTCAGACTCACGTTGTGACTCTCTCAGCCAAGACCAAGGCCTCGCTCCGTGGCAACATCGAGCGCCTCCTTGCTCACCTCGAGAGGGACGAGACCGTGACATTGGAGGACCTTGCCTACACCACCACTGCACGCAAGTACCACCACTCATACCGGGTGGCAATCGCCGCTTCCGATCTTGGCTCAGTCAAGAAGCAGCTTACTTCGCAGCTGAACAAGATTGATGCTCTGAAGCCTGTCAACAAGACCAACCCCCCGTCTGTGGCTTTCGCTTTCACTGGCCAGGGCGCATCTTACCAGTCAATGAACCTCGAGCTCTACCGCGACGTCCCCGTCTTCAGGGAGCACATCCACACCCTTGATAAGCTTGCTCAAGCTCAAGGCTTCCCGTCCTTCATCCCTGCTATCGACGGCTCGCACCCCAAGGAATACGTCCATGCTCCTGTCATCACCCAGCTAGCACTCGTCTGCCTCGAGATTGCGCTCGCGCACTACTGGGCTTCCCTGGGCATCAAGCCTGATGTCGTTGTTGGCCACTCCCTCGGTGAGTACGCAGCTATGCACGTAGCTGGTGTCATCAGCGCCAACGACGCCATCTTCATGGTCGGTTCCAGGGCCCTGATGCTTATGGAGAAGTGCCAATCTGGCAGCCACTGCATGATGGCTGTACGCGCTTCTCTGGAGAACATCATCGCCAACTCAGGCGGCAAGCCCCACACTGTGGCCTGCATCAATGGCCCAGCTGACACTGTCTTGAGCGGTACAAAGGCACAGATGGACGACATCGCCAAGGATCTTGAGGCTGCTGGACTCCGATGCATCAAGCTTGATGTGGCTTTTGCCTTCCACTCCGAGCAGACTGACCCCATTCTCGATGAGTTTGAGGCCATCAGCAAGAGCGGTGTTGTGTTCCACGAGCCCAAGCTTCCCATCATCTCGCCTCTTCTCGGCAAGGTCATCTTCGATGGTCACACCTTGAACGCCAACTATGTGCGCACCGCCACCCGCGAGGCTGTCGACTTCGTATCTGCCATGAGGAACGCTTCCAGCATTTCCACCATCGGCGACGACACTGTCTGGATCGAGATTGGCCCTCACCCCGTCTGCGTTGGCTTCATCAAGACCACTCTTCCTTCTACCCGCCTTGCAGTTCCTTCTCTGCGCCGTGGAGACAGCAACTGGAAGACCATGTCGGAGAGTGCTGCAGCTCTTCACCTCGCTGGTGTCAATATCGACTGGAACGAGCTCCACCGTCCTTTCACTGGCCAGGTTCGCCTTCTCGAGCTCCCAACATATGCTTGGGACGAGAAAAACTACTGGATGCAGTACAACGGTGACTGGTGCCTGACCAAGGGCAACACTTTCTACGAGAAGAAGCAGAAGGCTATTGAGCCCACCCCCAGAAACACCAAGCAGTACCAATCCCTGGGTTCTTTGGTCCAGAACATCATCTCGGTCAATGTCGAGGGTGAGGCGGGTAGTGTGGTTATGCAGTCCGACCTCATGCAGAAGGAGTTCTTGGAGGCGGCTTCAGGACATCGCATGAACGACAATGCTGTTGTTACATCGGTAAGTTTATGCTCTAACATATACAACTCGCAATTTGTACTAACCTTGTCTCAGTCTATTCACGCGGATATCGCTTACACCCTTGGTGACTACCTTTACCGCAAGTTCTACCCCAAGGCCAAGCGCCCGGATATGGACATGGCCAACCTGGAGGTCACCAAGGCTCTCATTGCTAAGAAGAAAGACATGGATACACCTCAATCTATCCAAGTCACCGCCGCCACCACCGATATCCGATCTGGTGTCCTGGACCTAACATGGCAGAACGTCGAAGCTGATGGCAGCTGCGCCGAGCCATTCGCTACAGCTCAGATCATCTATGGCGATGCTAAGCAGTGGCTCTCATCTTGGAGCCCCATGTCCCATCTTATCCAGAGCCGCATCGAGACACTTGAGCGTCTAGCTGTCGAGGGCCAGGCCAACCGTCTATCCCGCAACTTGGCCTACACTCTATTCTCATCCAACCTAGTCGACTACGCCGACAAGTACCGCGGCATGCAATCTGTTGTCATGAACGACTTAGAAGCCTTTGCCGAAGTCAAGCTTACCGAGAAGCCCGACAGCGGCACCTACGCCGTGCCACCTTACTATGTTGACAGTGTAGCGCATTTGGCCGGCTTCATCATGAACTGCTCCGACTCTATTGACACCAAGAACAACTATTGCGTCACTTCTGGTTGGAAGTCTATGCGCTTTGCCGAGCCTATGACTCCAGGTGCTAGATACCGATCTTATGTCAAGATGATTCCCACCAAGGACGACCCCGCTGTTTTCCTTGGTGATGTTTATATCTTGAAGGCAGAGGATAACTCGATTGTTGGAATGGTTGGTGGTATCCACTTCCGCCGCTTCCCTCGTATCCTTCTCAACCGCTTCTTCAGCGCCCCAGAACCTGCTAAAGCTACTTCCGGTCAGCAGGCCAAGCCAGCGCCCGTAAAGGCCGCACCTGCACCTGCTGCGCCCAAGCCCGTCGCACAAAAGGCCGTCGCCCCTGCTCCCAAGGCACAGGACTTTGACGCCCAATCTAGCAGCAGCTCGGAGGTCACTCCTCCTGGTACCCCGCTGCTGGCTGCCTCAGCCAACACCTCTTCCACTAGCATCAATGTCATTGCCGCCGAGCCAGCGAAGAAGGCCGGCAACGGTATCATGGATAAAGCGCTTGACATCATTGCCAACGAGACAGCCATTGACCTAGCCGACCTCGAAGACGACGCCGACTTTGCCAATCTCGGTATTGATAGTTTGATGTCGCTTGTGCTAGTAGAGAAGTTCCAGAAGGAGCTTGATGTCAAGGTTAACGGTAGTTTGTTCTTGGATTACCCTACTATTGGCGACTTGCGTGAGTGGTTGGAGAAGTACTACGGTTAGACTTTTATCCTTCTTTTATTGGTTATTAGTTATGGGTTTAGAAGTTTTCATCTCTTTAGAGTCTAGGTAGTTAGTGGTCAGATTTAGGTTTTCCTTGTTGTACATTAATGGGAATTAAGTTGTTTATATATCCGGTCTTGTTCTGCTTACTTGTGATGTTGCTGTCGCTGTCCTCTCTCGCGATCGATCCATGCAGGTATTTCCGATGTCGCGATTATTACTGTTCTCACCGCTTACACCGACTCATGGATCGGACCGCCCCACATTACCACGGTACGGCTCTCCACTGAAACGATGGGCGTTGAAAGAGAAGTCTTGAAATAGCCATGTTGTAATAGTATCTTTCGATGGTATGGTGGCGATATAAACTTTGCAACACGACGTGTGGCATTGCGTGCATATTCGCGGAGGATGCACGGATAAGAAAAGGGGGGTGGGGGAGATGCACAACACGCAAGTTCTAGATCTACATCCAGGAGCACCCTAGTTCGAGAAGGCTCGTCCGCGTCATTTATGTGAAATAGGGAACACCATCCCTCAGTTCGTTTCCCTTTTTCCCTCTTGCCGCGAATTGCTTCTTTCTCGCAGAACGTGCGGGTTTCCTCTTGTTTCTTTTCTTCTTTTCTTGGCGACCTACTACTACTCCTACAAAACTGCTGTTCCCCGTTCCGTTCCGTGAAGCTAGAACATTCCCGGGAGATAGACCGATGCGAAGCGAGATAAGCACGCGCAGAAGACAGACTCGAAGACGACGACGGACAACGACAACGACGCACTCGGTATAAAGATGGAGAGCCCTTTTGTGATGCCGCAGGAGGATGTGGAGGCGCTGGGTGAATCAAAGGCGTTTTGCGCGCTGAGAAGGTATCTAGCTGGTGAAGCCGCGTATGTCATGCCCCCTCCATCTCCTCGCACGAGTTCCCTTGTTGGGGCTTATCGCACACCGTATCCGACTATCGCGACGTCCCGTCACATGTTCATCACGACACGCGACTAACAGATGAATAGCTTCTGCGCAACACACGCGCAATGTACACCTCAAGCCAAACAAACATGGCTCCTTCACCGCGACATTCTTCACGCCCTCATCATGCCTGTCGTGACGCTCTTCTCACGCGCCTCGACTCTGGCGTCGGCAGCCCTATGCACGCAACGAACATCGGACCTTGAGCTTGCATTTTCGGGTGAATCGCGCAGTGCTTTCATAGGCCTGCAATGCTTCCTCAGCGAGGAGGCTGACTGGTGCCGCACGAGAGGATGTCCGGCTTGCGTAGTCTCGGCCACGTTGAGCACCGATAGCCATATCCGCCTGACGATTGCTGCAAGCCTGCTCAGCACGGCGAGTGTAGCTACGCCCACGCAGGAGGAACTTCGACACGACAGCGATAGGACGCTGCCCCCACTCCCGCATATCCTTCCTGCGCTGCAACACGCTGTGATAAACGACCCGTTCTGGGAAGGCTCGGACATTTGGGGCTACATCTTGTCGCGTGCCACTCAACTCTCGGCTGGCATCCAAGCCCTGATCGCCGAGTGCGTGAACCTTGAATCGCTCGTCTCATCGCCTACCACAGACAGGCCGGGTGCCAAGCGCGGCTTGACACATCCCTCCGTGCCTTTTGTAGCTTCTGGCCAGACTGTCGAGGAAAAGGGTGTCAAGCTTAGGAAGAGCAAGCTAGCAAAGAGGCAGTTAAGGCTACGAGACGAGGAGGTCGAACTAATGAGGAGAGTGGCGATGCAATGCTGGGCCAAAGCCCAAGTACCAAAGAAGATCCGAGGAGATGTCTTGGGCATAAGCGATGGCAAGAGGACGAGGAGCTTGACTTGCCCATGAGTCGAGACTTTGACAAAAGGGCGAAATATGGCGTTTTTGGTTCTGCATCTTGGATGATACCACAGCATACACTTTCCTTGGACGGGATATTTGGTTTCTCGTTTCTTTTTTGTTTCTAGGGGAATCTTGAGACTGGATAGTCTCAGGTTACACACACACACACACACACACACATGGCCTTTTTTGGTCGATTTCTTTTGTATCGCACGGCATTTAGATTCTAATAGAGCGTAGTCTCCTTATATTTGTCAATAGACTCTTGAGCTTTGACTTGCTACTATCGCAGGGACGACTACAGCGTGTTGGGAACGTGCTGCTGCAGCACCCGTTTTCTACGCTTTGGAAGCTGAAATGGGGATGGTGCTGGAACAACTATCCACCGAGCCTCGGCTCATCTTGAGTTCTGGGGAAGCTCGCTCGCCATGACGAACCCATTGCCGACCCGGATCGTCCATCGCCATGTTAACCCCAACTTGCTCCAAATCCTACTCTTCTCCCCAGCTCCCCTCCTATCACACCACCACCAGCCCAAAACATGGACAACACCACCCTCTTCGACGTCAAGGTTTGTACTCCCAACCCCCAACCACGTGACACAACCTCCTCACCACCACATCTGACCCCCCACAGGACAAAATCGTCCTCGTAACCGGCGGTGCCAAAGGCATTGGTCGCATGATAAGCGAAGGATTCATCCAAAACGGCGCAAACGTCTACATCTCATCGCGCGACGCCGCAGCGTGCGAGCAAGCGTGCAAAGAGCTGAATGCGCTAGGAAAAGGCAAAGCAGAGTTCATAGTCGCGGATTTGTATCGCGAGGATGCGGCTGGTTTAGTTGCGGGGGAGTTGAAGGTCCGGGCTGAAAGTAAGTATATCTATTGAGATGGAAACGGGGGGCATATTCGAGACAGCAAGCGTGGCGTGGCTAACAAAGATAGAACTCGATGTTCTTGTTAATAACAGTGGGAGTAACTGGGGCGAATCCTACGACACTTATCCCTCATCAGCATGGGACCGCGTACTCACTCTAAACCTAAAACGCGTTTTCCAACTCACTCAAGCTGTCACACCCCTCTTGGAAACCGCCGCCGCCGCCTCCTCACCAGCCCGCATCATCAACATCGGCAGCATAGACGGTCTCCGCGTTCCAGCACTCGAAACATTCGCTTACTCGGCTTCCAAAGCCGGCCTGCACCACTTGAGCAAGGTGCTGGCGAATCATCTTGGGAAAAGGAATATCACGGTCAATACGGTGGCGTGTGGGCCGTTTGAGAGTAAGATGATGAAGGCGACGCTGGAGAGACATAGGGGTGTTATTGAGAAGGGGATTCCTCTGGGGAGGATTGGGAGCAAGGAGGATGTGGCGGGCACGTGTATTTGGTTGGCGAGTCGGGCGGGCGCGTGGGTTAATGGGGTTGTGGTTGCGTTGGATGGGGGAAGTGTTGTTGGGGCTAAGTTGTGAGTGGGGAGGTCGAGATGGGATGGGGGTGGGCTGAGTGATCAGAGGGGTTCGCAACGAATCCCCCCACTTCGCATCTGCATGCACGCTCCCTTGATCCTGCGAGGGCTTTTTTTTAGATTCTTTTCGGATTTACCCGGTCATCTCACCACCTCATCTTGCATGTGAAAGCTCTGGTCTGACATGTGGTACCTTTTGGAAGCGAAAATCCAACACCCAATACAATCAAGCACATGTGAATTTCTCATTTGCATCAGGGGGATTGTGTATGGCATGAACGGGAGGTGGTGTATATTACAATCTACCAACTTCTCTGACGGAAGGAGTCTGTATGAATCCGGTACAAGCTATGTACTTGACGTGTAATGAGAAGGCTAACCACTGGCTACATGATTAGGAATGATGACTCCATGGTCCTCATGAGGTCACCTACGCCATCAATATTTCCCTCAAGAACATCAATTGCCGCTGAAGGGTCCATCCACGGCACATTCTCCTCCGGCTGCTGCACCATAACGTCCTCCACGTCAACCAATAACGCCTTGACCTCCTCCCTCTCGAATAACTCTTCACTGAGGCAGTCCGGAGCCTCATCCCCGACCCCTAGGCCAGCGAACGCGCCAGCAAAGTCGCCGCTGCTCAGGTTCTCATCAGCCTGGCGAAGCTGGTCATCTTTCTTGAATCCCTCGGCCTTGCGTTCCATGTATATTATGTACTGCATGGCCCACACGCGACCATGTTTTCTATGCTCCTCGACTGGCCTGTTGACAACCTCCTCCCAGAATTGTTCGCCTGAAACGGTGCACTCAGGAACCACTGTCTCCAACTTCTTGACCGCTGCCTTCATGCGGGAGATCTGCATGGGCCGCCAGCGCACGAGATCGTACATGCCTTTCTTCCAGACTCTCGTGATGAAGTAGTCGCGTGTAAGGTCTTCGCCGTGCTTGACGCCCAGCGCCGCATCTAGCCAGGCCATTACGAAATTTGTCAAGAAGTGGTAAAGACCAGATCCAAGATCTTGCTCTGCGCAGGGCGATGATACTGCAATGTGGGCGAGTAAGACATTGAAGCGGGTGACCTGGTGCGAGAGGGTGAGGGAGTGTAGTTGATCCATCTGCCAATACCAGATGGCCATAGTGACGATCACAGCCTGCTCCAGCTTACGGGCACGGAAGTTGGCCGCGACAAAGCTGTTGTAGTGGGCGAAGAAAAAGAAGATTTGTAGATTAGGGTGGATCTCGGGACGGTAGAGCGTGTGCGGCCGCTCATAAATGTCGCGTATGGTTGGCTTACGGCCGGATGGGAAGGCGCGCGCTGGGATGCGGGATGTCTTGATATTGAGGTCCTTTATGGCTTTTGTGTAAAGCTCCACGAGCTGATCTTTATGCAGATTCATTGTGGTGGCGGTGGTGGTGGTGGTGGTGTTCTTGTGTCAAAAGATGGTGACAGATACACCGAGTCACCCAGGTGAGGTCGTCGCTTTAAATGGGCTGTGGGAGGAGCTTAATGGGGAACACTCGCTTAGATGTGCGAGGTGAGAGAAATGCTCCGTTTGCACAATAGTCGCGGTGGCGAAAAAACTGGGGCAGAGTCGCGGTGAAAGAGAGCACCTCTTACGAGAAACATAGAGAGTGCCCACATGATTCTCAACAACCCACAATTCTTGATCCGTTATGGCAGACATGACAATAGTGATGTTGGTGAGCTGGCATCCATCGCGAGTGTCCGTCGCATGTTTCTCGTCCTCAAGACTTCTCTACACCGCGTTGTTCTCACTGACAATCTGCTGTCTAAAAGCAACAAGCACTCTAATATCTCGATCACGAAGGCGCTTGGTGCTACCAAAAGATTCTCAGACTCGTTCCAGACGCACACCTATCCACTGCCGCCTCACTCATTGCCAACAGGCCGCCCCCACGATGTCGCTCTTGCGTGCCTACCCGGTACACCACACCCACATATGGCATCGTTCCCTTCGAGAAGCCACAGAATAAGGCAAGAATACTTGTGTCGCTGACCGAAACATGTCTGAGAATGTTGCGGTCTTGAACAAAACACCTCCCCGGTTTTAGTACGAGCTCATCACACCCTCGAGCCTGTAAACCATAACGTCACCCACTCTCCCAGATGCAATGCAGGCACACCGTCTAGAAGCCTACAGAGAACCGTAAAAACTATGCGCTGTTCTCATACACATACCTGCAGGACCACACGATATCCTCATCAAGGTGGGCGCGGCCTCATATTGCCACACGGATTACGTCCTTGCACCAGGCTAGATGCCAGGCCTAGCCAAATCATTCCCACACATTGGCTGCTGCGAGTTCACCGGAACAGTAGTTTTACGCTTCCACTCCCCAGCGCCAAAGCGCTGGTTTTGAACATCGGGGCAAGGGTGGGTGTGCCCCGTCGCTCAGCCCATGCTTGCGGCGAGTGCTTCGAGTGTAGGAATGAACGCATGATAGACCCCGTTGGCATGGACCATGAGGGGTATTCTGTCAACTGTGTTGCCGCGAAGTACAACGGGTTGAGTAGAGATGGGGGGTTCGCCGAATACGCTGTTGTAGATGCGATATAGGTCGCTCCCATACCGGGTGGTTTGAAGGCTGTAGAAACTGCATCCTTGATGTGCACTAGAGTAACCATATACGGGGCTTTGAAGAGATGCGGACTTGGGAATGGCGATAGAGTCGGTATTCTAGGCGCCGGTGGTGGTCTCAGTCATCTAGGTGTTGGAATACAAAGTCACTGGCATCGAGGCAGGAGATGCCCCCTTGGCGCAAGGATTAAATCACTTTTATATTCACTTTGCTCGTGTGAATTAACGTTTTCACATCATCAAGTGTCAGCAGAAGCATGAGAGCGAGCAAGGGTCGACATTTTGAAAATATAGCCTTTTATCTATTCCACCCGGGGGCTTCGCTCATCCAGATTCCAACATATCGGCATACAGGTTGAGAGAGCTTCCAATGACATCCACAATGGCCCACGTCTGAGATCCCTTGAAGATCATGGCCCATACCCGCAGAACTCCAGCACTAAGCTGTCTCATGAAACTTGGTGAATCATCTACGGTCTGCGATGGCATTGCAAACTCTGTTTCATCCAACATGCTCTTCACAATTCCGATAATCTTGTACTCGTCTTCCGTGATTGGTGGGTCTCTGTGAGGGTCTGAAAGGGCTTCTAGCCATTTACTCATCAGATATGCGCACTCGAGTGTACACAAGGAGTGCTGGATGCTCCAAATGAAGGATTGCGTCTTCGCGACAAGACGATAGCCAATCTTGATTGGTATGGAGAGGGCATGAGCCGAGTGGAGCACGGCTCGGGTAATCTTTGGCGAGCGCCTGATGGCGGGTCCAGCACGAAAGGCGTTGGCGATTAACACAGGATCCCGTGTTTCTAGGGCTCTCCCTGCAGTGTCTACATACAAGCGAATGTATGCTAAGCGGAGCAAGGCTGTCGAGTTGAAAGCAACGGGACCGTTCCGGTTCATAGGATTCAGTGACGATTCCGGGTTTTGTCGCCATCCAATCTGCCAGTTACGTAGCGCGTTCTCCAGCGATGAAATATCTTCGGGGCTCAGATCACCAGCGCCTTCAAAGCGGCAGCGAGCGACTTGGCGCAGGAAGAAAACATGCTGTATTAACGCATGGATCAGGGCATAGTTTCCAGACGAGGAGTTGTACTCTGTAACATCTCGGCCTTGTCTGCTGAACAAACGCTTCAGGGCATCTTGGAAGAGTACTTCTGGTGTACTCTTTTTTCTGGCCTCCTTCCAGGAAGCCTCAGTCGATGCTTTGAACTCCGCTGCGGTACAGGGAAGCGGAAGCTTAACTTCGCTTGTCAACATAAAAGGCGGAATGTTGTAGACAATGCAATGCAGATTGGAAAAGCCGTAAACAATGAACTTTGTTCTCTTCACTGTTTCCCGTCGGACCCAATCTGTCCATGAAATGTCTTCGTGAAGGGGCTCAATGTCTAACCCATCGTCTCGGATGAGTGTGGCTAGGATACTCTGGATGGCGAGAGCTTCTCTGAGAATTTCCCTATGTTTGGCCCAGGTGCATAGCGCCATCAGTAAAAGGAGAGCCTGCGCTGTCTGCATGAGATCTTCGCCGAGAGGAGAATCTGTGTCAGATGGCAAGCCCAGCGGTCCCGAGACGGAGCTCTTACGCTGGGGAGTACGTCCTTGGGAATCGCCATCGCGCGGCGATGAGTAATCTGACTCGGATTGATACTGAAGCTGCACTAATCTTGTATCGCGTTTCCTGATACGATGCGTAGCAATCGCTCTGCTGATGTTGAATAGTTCAACACCCTTTTCACCTTCGAATGTGTATTGGGCACCGACGGCTGCCAATGCTAGAAGCAATTCGATCGAGCATGTATCCACAGACATGGTAGGCAGGTGAAGAAATGGCATGTGTTCGTGGAAGCCGTTGATATATGCAGCGATATATCTGCATAATGCCAAGCGGGTTGGCAGGACGAAGTCTGCGGGAATAACAGAGGAAAATTGATTGAGCATCTCAATCATCTTCTGGCGATCTTCGTGTGATAAATCCGCAAGTGATCGCTTGTGTGTAGGCTCCTCGGGTGCAACATCTTCTGGCTGTAAGGAAGGAAAACGAGATCCGAAACGAGAGAGTGAGGGAGCTTCATCCACATGAGCTTGTCGCCAGTTAGGTGTATGGCCTATTACCCTCTCAGTCTCAGACATTGCTTGATGGCTATATGCAAATGAATCCGGGGAGAAGAATGGCATGGGTTGCTCGGTGTTGATTAGGGACGCGAAATGGTACGAGTTCAAAGGCTCGCTATCAAGAAACGAGGTGAGACTATCCAGAGATTCCCCAAACGTAGACTCGTACATCTGAGCGGCATGTTCTGTAGATATTATCGTGTGTGGGAAATGCGACGTGCCAGCAACGGGTGCAGGCTGTGAAGGCATCGGTGTCGGCATCGCATCATGGGCCGTTCCGTTTTCCATACTACCTTGAAGTGCCTGATACTCGGCAGCCATAGATAGAGCTGTCAGGGAGTATCCACTGTTTTGGCCAAAAGTCATCGAGGCATGTGACATCTCAGGCTGGTGTTGAGAGGACTGCATGTCCAGCATGGCAGGCGAGGACATCATACTGGGTATCTCTGGCACTGGACGTCTGGAACCGGCATCGAAACTTTGGCGCATGCGTTTTAGTGTTCGAGTTTCAGCTGGACTGGGAACTCTCTCAGTCGGATTTTGTTGTTGGTTCTGCTGGTTCTGCTGGTTGTTCTGATCCTTGCGATGAGTGAGTCGCTCATGGCGGACGAGTAGATCACTTGAAACCAAAGATAAGCTATTGGAATTGGAAAAGGAGACGTATCTTACCTGCGAGTGAATGAATAGCTACATTCCGAGCACCGAAAAGGCTTCACACCGCTATCTTGACACATGTCAGAGATGGCTCGCCATTCGTGCCGTACGACTTACGAATGCGCTCGTGGCGCTGTAGGTGCTCGAGCCTGGCAAAGGCCCTTTGGCAGTGTGAGCATTGAAACCGCTTCTCCTTTTTTCCAGACTGAGCTTGCTGTGGGACATGCTCGTCGTTGGTGGCTGTCTCCATCGAGTGCCAATCGTACCTCGCGTCCACACTACGCCTACTTGCGATTGGTCGGTTAGTGGTATTCAATATTGGTGCAGCATCAAGGAGCTGGAGACAGCCTGGCCACTGTCGAGTCGTGTCTCACAAAGATGCGTGCGAGTGTGGGGAAGAGAATGAAGTGCGGAGATGAGACGGCTCATATGCGGGGTGAAGCGACAATACTGCCAATCATACTCCCGGCCCGTCTGCGCCAGCCTCGGCCGCACGTGTTCTGTCTTCAATGTTTAGGAATTCAAGAACACAATTATTGTAAATGATTTTACATTGCAATGCATCACTGACTGGCTGATGGTGTCGATGAAGTCTGATACAGCTGTCGAACCTGCTGTCGGTAGCCCGGCAGGATCCTTCCGAGCCTGACGCCACGCAACGCGCCACCTTCCATCATCACGCCCGTTCGCTTCTGTTGCCCAATTCACGCGGCATCTCACCCTTCTCAGCCATTTCGTTCAAAACCTTTTCAGCCGTTTTCATCGCGTCGACGCCAGCCGGCACGCCGCAGTATGTTGTCGCGTGGATAATTGCCTCCCGGATTTCAAGCTCCGACAGTCCGTTGTTCCTAGCCCCCCGGACGTGAACCGCCAGCTCAGGGGCGCGGTTGAGTGCCATGAGCATACCGATATTGATCAAGCTCCTCTGTTTCTTGTCCAGCCCTGGCCTCGTCCAAGCATAGCCCCAGCACATCTCCGTGACGAGCTCCTGACCAGCTCGTGAGAACTCGGTCGAGCCATTCTCCAGTGCACGGTTAACGTATTCATCGCCCACGACACTCCGTCTTACTTTGAGCCCCTCTTCAAAGAGTTGCTTATGCAGCTCATCATATTTCGGATCGGTCGACATATTCGGCGATCGATCGGTCGGTCGTAAGACGGGCAGCAGATCTGGTGGCTTAGACACTGCAAGGCCTAACAAACTTTGTGCGGAGCTTGAGCCCAAAGGAACTTGCAAGATGGATGTTGTTGAACAGAAGAATTTTTGCATGGGAGCACGTAGGCCCCGCCGGAACATGGTTGATTCACAGCCGAGCCCCCACTACCCCAAACTTCCCCAACTTCTCCAGCCCTCACCCACATCATCTATCTACATTGTATGCACACCCAACGAGAAAATGACGCAACGTTTTGCCTCCACCTGCCGATCACGCTCCGTTGGACTTGGGTTGCCAATCCTCCCTACCACCCAGATAGCGGTAAACCACACGAGAGTCTAGATCCCTGCAACGGGCATCTTTGGCAGCGCCGTCATACGTTTCCAAACCAACGTCACCCAACACGTTCCGTGCCCCTACGCGTTTCGCCATGTCCACGGCCAATCCAAAATCTTTTCGCATCAATTGTACCTTGAAGCCTTGTTTCCATCCCCCTGAAGATGGAGCTTCGGGATAAACATGCGGTACAGGACAAAACTTGTCGCAAATGGTATTTTGAGCAGTACCTGCGGCGTACACCTTGGCCAAAGTACGAGGATCCAGCCCACTGCGCATTCCCATGTCGAAAGCTTCCGAGCAAGCTATCGCAATTACGCCAGAGAGGTAGTTGTTCGATAGCTTCGCGGCGAGGCCGAGTGACGGTCCACCGCAAGGTATGACTTGACCACCCATGAGCCCCATAAGATACGTGAGCCGCTCTATGTTCGGGTCTGACTCCGCGCAGCCCAAGAAAAAGGCGATCGTGCCTTTGACAGCTCCTATGACACCGCCACTGACAGGAGAATCGTAGAATAAAGCCGATGGGAATTCTTCGGAGATGTGGTCTTTGACAGCCAAACTTGTCGCCGTGTCTATCGTGGAGCAGTCGATGAGAAGCTTGTTCGAAATATCAGTGCTGCACACGCCATTCTCGGGATCAAGATACACAGAGCGCACATGCGCGCCTTCGGGCACCATGGTTATGATTGTATCCTGTATATCCATCAGCCTTTGTTTCGTGCAGTACAGGGTTGATATACAGCTTGTATTGCGACATCCTTTACGCTTTTTGCCTTGAACACACGATCGGGGAATTCTGTACACGTTTCATCTATCAAGTCTTCTACCACATCATAGACCCATATGTTCGAGTCCGCCGGTAGCTTTCTTGCAAGGTGAGACATCATTGGTCTGCCCATGGCTCCAAGGCCAATGAACCCTAGCTTCTTCCATTGGTCAGGTCGCGACATCTTTGTGTTTGAAAAGGCGAGCCGTTAGGGCTGAGGTGGGAGATATGTCGGTACGACACAACTGGCAGGTTTGTGACACTACTAGCTTCGACAGTGTCCTAAAGTAAACTGCGCCAACATACGCGTTGTGAGCGGTCGGCGGCTAACAAAGTGGGGTACGCTACTCCAACATATTATCGGTAGTTCTTCTTACCCCATTCTCGGGGCTGTGGCGTTCATGCAAGCCTACACACCATGGACGAATATTATACCGGACAGATTTCACATGCTGAACCTTTCAATTTCCAGTTTTTGGGATGTGTATAGCCCTTCAGCATCCTGTCTTTCAAACGTCCTACCACTTCGATTTCCTGCCCGCTACCTAGATACAGTTTTTCGGACCTGATAATCATCAGTATGAGGCATCAACCACCTTCCAACGGTACATTTCATTGCTCTAGGTACCAGATAACGTCCTTTGTCACAGTGCACGCCTTGTCGTGTGGCTACTTCTCACTTCCAGAGTACCAATTTGTCCACCCCGCCTCCCCGAACGCCCGCCGAATTGTCCCATCTCTAGCGTTTTTGATACAGCATATCAATCAAACCACTGGAGAACGGACGCGTATCGTCTTTGATCTTGGAATAAGAAAGGATGTGAAGGAGTATGCAATGCCGATACAACAGCACCTTGAAACAAGGCAGCCAATCACCACGGACCCAGACGTTGTCAAGAGTCTTGCAAAGGGTGGCCTCTCTCCTGATGATATCGACTATGTGATATACTCGCATGTAAGCCATATGATATGCTTATGTCTTAGAGTGGCGAATAACACGGTGGCGATAGGTACATTGGGACCACATCGGCGAGCCTCGAGACTTCCCAAAATCCACCTTTATCGTCGGTCATGGAGCACTTGCTCTGCTGGATGGAGCTTCCATATCTTTTCGCGGAGGCCACTCCTTCTTTGAAAGCAATCTCTTGCCACGGGAACGGACTGTTGAGTTATCGGAACCTTCGGCCGATACACAAAACAAAGACTGCCCGAGCAGGTTACCGGGTGATGTCAGCTTCAGAGGCTCATGGCGTGCGCATGGCCATCTCCCACATGTTCTGGATGTCTTCAACGACGGATCACTGTTAATCGTCAATGCACCCGGTCATCTTCCGGGTCACATCAACCTTCTCGCAAGGACATCGGAAAGCCACCAAATTTACATGGGCGGCGATGCTTGCCACGATAGACGACTGCTAACCGGCGAGAAAGCGATCGGGGAATGGAATGATTCAAATGGGCACACTTGCTGCATCCACGCTGATCGAAAAGTAGCCGAAGAGACGATTGAGAGGATAAGAATTTTAGAGCAGAAGGGAGTCGAGGTTATTTTTGCGCACGATATCGAGTGGGACGATAACCCGGCCAACAAGGTGAGATATTTCGGCGCTGACTAGGGAGTGAGCTGTTCGGAGCAACATCAACTATGAATGTCAGGATGAACCTGAACAATCAGGATCATGCCTTTTCACAAGCAAGTATGATCATTCCTGCGCTCAACATCAGGCCCACCAACGGTATTGGCCTGACTACAAGTCCAAGTCCTTCAGTGATGTGGGACGTCGATCCCTACGCCCCCCCTTAGCACGAGCGTTAATACGAGCGGGGAAAGTGGGGTCTCGTAATTGGCGCAATAATCTGAGACTACAATTTCGGGGGGTCCGCGCCGACCCGAAGTTCCCAGCTGCTGACTGAAAATCGTATACAAAATACAGTTTGGCCAGCGAGGATCGCTTAGGCATACGTATCAATGGGATTAGCCACTAGATAGACCCCAGCGTGTGAATGAACTAAGCAGTAATAGTCCGACACTGCGAAATCTTTGCGACGACACTACCCCTTACAGGACATCGAACACGCACAACCCATTACTCTCACCGTAATTCGCCAACCTGCTTGTGGTATAACGGTTCGAGATGGTTTTCACACCAGAACAAAAGAAGCTCAAGGAGGTTTTTGATGCCGAGTTCGGTAGCGCAGCATTTGACGAATCTTGGGCTAGAATGCTCATTCACTCACCAGAGATGTTCGCTGCGTCTGTACGCCTAACAGCAGCACCGAAAAAGACCAGTCATCTCTCACCCAAAATCCAAGCTCTGATCTCTCTCGCCGTGAGTGCAGCATCGACGCATCTGCATCTCCCCAACATCCATCGACACACACGCGCCGCTCTAGCCGCAGGTGCTACACGTGAGGAAATCGTCGAAACACTCTGTCTTACAAGTGCCCTTGGCATACACGCTGCTACCACCGGTCTGCCTCTCCTATTCGAAGTCCTCGAGGAACGCGGCGAAGCCTTACCAGAAGACATCGCAACCATGAGCCCTCACCAACTCGCTCTAAAAGCCGACTTCGAAGCTAAACGCGGCTACTGGCACAAAATGTGGGAGCAAATGCTTGTACTCGCGCCCGATTTTTTCAAAGCGTATACAGAGTTTAGTTCGGTGCCGTGGACTAATGAGGGTGGAAAGGATGTGTTGGAACCAAAGGTCAAAGAGCTGATATACTGTGCATTTGATGCGTCGGCTACACATATGTACTCGCCGGGGTTGAGACTGCATATAAGGAATGTGCTTGATCTTGGAGGTACCAAGGAAGAACTCATGGAGGTTATGGAGCTGGCGACATTACTAAGTATCAGTACATTGGATGTGGGATTGGAGGTTTTGGACCAGGAGATGTCGAATATAAGCTTGTAACTGGTTATATGAATAATTATTTATATGCGGAGTAAAGGTCATGCGTGAGTGGCTACACTTGGACGGTGAAAGGGCTTGTCACGTGACTAAAACAGTTGGTCCGTAAGCGCTTTTCACCATTGTTTCTATTTCGCATGCCTCGTAGTATTTTCGTTAATTAATCCTGAAATGATCTGTAATGAAACTGCTCTCAAAAGTGGAAGATACCCAGACACCCTTCGGCAGACTACACGATCGTCCCCACCTACTTCCGCTCGCTCTCATTCAACCATTTGTACACAACCCTAGCATCCTTTCCCTTGTATCTCTCATCCGCCATCGCCTCCCCAAACGCCTCCAAAGTAGGTTTATCTAATACCGTCCTCGCACCAACCATCTCGGCCAATTGACTGCCCATGCCCAGCACCTTTGCGCACAGCTCAATCCTAAAGCCGCCCTCATACCCTCTCGAACTGGGTATATCGGCCTGTATACCAGGAGCGAGATTGCTCTTACTGGTCACCCAACACTGTCCACCCGATACATTGATAACGCCCGTCAAGAGGGCAACGCCCAACCCCATTTTCGACCCGATGTTGAGTGCCTCGGAGGCGGCGAGCGAGGTGATGGCACTGAGGCAGTTGTTGATGACTTTGAATGCTGTGCCTGCTCCAATGTCTCCGTACAGGAATATCGCGTCTGGTTTACCCATGTGGCTTAGGTATGACTTCACCATGGGGGAAATGGCCTTGTTGTTCGTTCCCGCCATGAATGCTAGTGTACCATCTTGGGTGCCTATCGGTCTGCCTGAAACGGGTATACCGATAGAGGTCAGCTGTTTACTTACGCGGGAGTCTTCGGCTGCTTTTGCAACTTCGAGGATGGTTGCTGTTTCGATGGTTCCGCATTCCATTATTAGTTTGGTGGCATCAGTGGTGCTGGATGCGTTTTCTGCACCGGCTATGATGCCCATCGTGAGGTCTAGGTATACCTATTTCACGGCATTCGAGTCGGGAAGCATGGTGATTACTGTGTCTGCTCTTTGTACTGCGTCATATCCTGTTTTTACAACTTCCACTGGTCCAAGCCCTTGGGCATCTTTCTGGAACTTTTCGAGCACCGGAATCGAAATGTCGCATATAAGGAGTGTGTGAGAGGAATCGAGACCTTTGCGTAGGTTGAGAGCCATTGGGTAGCCCATTACACCAAAGCCTACAGAATATTAATATTTTAATCTTGAAGGACGGGTAGCAGATGAGCTACATATCGATCAAGGCGACTACCTTGTTTCCTGAGGCCATGTCAGGAGAGAAAATATTTGCTTAACTATACTTTACGTTATGCTACTAGAAAAGTTCTGAAAGTTTTTTATCACTTGGTGATGCGCATTTACAATACTTGGGCGATTCAGTGTTAACACAATGAATAGCACTACGGTCTGCAATCGTATAAACTACCTAAACATCACCCGAAATGTTGTCGTACTCGTCCCACATCCGTGACTGGAATATTCAGAGTTCCGAGAATCTTGTTTTCCAAATACCGGCTTCCGCAATATCCCCAGCACGAATGTTTTGTGAAACCATACCCTGGAGCAGGGCGTATCCGATCCAGTCTCTGCTACATCTTTCGGCAGTAACACAAAACCACCATGTGCACTGATAGATGCCATAAATGCCCTGAATTCTCCACCTGTTACCAAACCTTAAAAGAAACATCTCTTGATTCCTTCCATGTAAACAACATGCTCGCAAGCCTTACCTGATGTTCTCACCCCAACCCTCGGCCCCGCCCAGTACCCCACGTCGGAGAGAGGGCGCAAGGTTTCTCCACATCGGCATCTGCACTCGGTCCACAATTTGCAATATGGATAAACTTTAAAGATATGCATAGCAACGTCTGTGGCGTCGAAATGCAGGATGTCCCCAGCGATTGAGGCTGTTGGGGGTGCAGCGTGGAAGAAAAGTCAAGTCCGAAGTCCGAAGCTGTGAGCTGTGTCACGATCGGGACAAGAAAAATTGTTGGGGCTGATACATGGAGTGACCAATCGTAGTTATAGTTATCATAGTGTAGCATCGATTGAATTCTGCAGCTCAATGGTAGAATCACCAACGCAACATCACATCACTACAGACACAACTCTATGTGAGAAGCTTGATAGACAACTTGTTGGTAGAGACATGGACAGATAAATAGTATGCTCAAATGTTGCATCGACGTCTTCATCTACTCTCTCCTTTTCTACCTCCCCCAAAGATGCTTTTCCCAGTCTTAGCAAACACCACACTACCATCCCCCAATGACTTCCCAAGAATAATCGCAAACTCAGTGCTTCTATCACCAGCTAACTCAATCACATCGATATTTGCTTTCAGCTACACGGCGTATGAGTAGTAATGTTTAACCAGAGTCCAAAAAACTAAATACATTAATCTCCTCGAACGTATCTCCTCAATGTCCGTTTTCAAACCGTGTCCTGGGACCTGCCCCAATGATTAACCTCCATCTTAATCTCTCTATGCACACTAACATGCATTCCATCCCTCCGCACCCCCTCAACCGTCATCCTCCCACTACCATCATCACCGCCATCCATACTACCCCTAACCGTGGTATCCAGCTCGCCATAAATCCTCGTCTCAACGCCCGGTGATCCCTTTGACCCCTTTGTTCCTCCGCCGTTACAACCCCTACCGTCATCAGGCTGCTCCTCAAGCTCGACCCAGTGCTTCGACGCCGGATCCCGCGACAAGCGCTGGGCACCGAGTTTTTTCGATTTGCCGTACGAGAGACTACGGGAACCGCTGCCGCCTGTCCAGGAGGAGAACTGGGAGATTGCGTGTTTGAGCAGGGGGTGGCAGGCGGGTAGGTTTGCGACGAACATTCCGACGTTCATCTCTGCGGATGCCCAGGCGAGGATGTTGCCGAGATTTTGGAGGAGGCGGGTGCTGTCGTTTAGGCCGATTAGATATTTAAGGCGGACAATGGGGGCGATGGAAGCGCTGGGTTTGGTTGTTAGTGAGGGAGAGTGAGTGGTGCTGGGAAGATATGCTACTCACAATACTCCTAGGCCTAGCATGAGCATGACTGAGCCTTTGACGCGCCAGTCTAGTTGCACGTTCCAAAGGAGGAAGATGGGGAGGGTGGCGAATATCCAGTCTGTGGAGATTGACACGACGGCGACGGCGTAGGAGAGGACGGTTTGGATGTTGCGGTCGTTGCATTCACCTTCCATTGTAGGGGTCCAATTCTTCCTGTCGTTGGGTTGTTAGTCAAGCCGCCGCAGTGTTAAACACGATACAGGAAGTGTGCATCGAAAGGAATCTGAGAAAGGTGTGAACATACTGCACAGGCCGACATTGGAAAAACAGATAGAATCCCGTTCCACCCATGACGACGAAGTTGCAGAACATAGACATGTAAATGACATATTCAATCCATTTCTCACAGTCCGCAACAATCAATTAAGTGGGTCCTAGAAGGTTCAGATTGGATTGATTGATTACCGCTTTAAGCCTAGTAGTTACCTATAGGAGTTTAAGCCCTACCTAGATAGGTAAGTGGGTCTAGGAGAGTGACCGGATTGAATTGATTGTTGCGGAGTCTACCATTTCTTGCCGCTCGCGATTCTGATAAGAGCGAAGCCGATGCTGACTTTGATGGCAACCAGGGTGAAGCACCACGGCTCTTGGAAGATGTAAAACCACTAGCCTTAGTGTCAGCAGCGTCTCTTGCAAAATAAGATAGGGACAGATACACATACCCTCAAAGAATTTGAGTACTGAAAGGTGCTCAGCGTAGCATCCTTCTGACCGATTCCACTAAACGACATGGCAATCGTAGCTACGGTGCTCACCGTCCACAACGGCTGAACGTTCACATCGAGGTCAGCATCTGTATCCTGAAGTTGTGACAAGCACGTAAAAACTTACCAAGTTAACCAGCATAGCCCAATCATCTGGACCCCACGCCTTCCTCTTATACCGGATCCAGAAGCGCAGCACGGTGGAGATGATGTCGAACGGTAAGGGTATCAAGACGGACAGAGCCATAGGCCAGGAGGTAGGCGCCGGCGCCATGATTTTGTCGACGAAGTACGATTACGCAAGATACTGAAGAAAACTCGTCTGTCGGCTCAACCACACTTGACTCAAACGTATAGCACAAAAACGACAAAAGTAAAAACAAAACGAGAGGGATTTTCCTGCAAGATACCAGCTCCAGGCTTGTACATGAATCAGAATATAAAAGATCGATCAGGTGAGAAAAGCAAACCCGTGCGGAGAGAACGGCAGTGAGGCAAAAGGAGCGCTCCGGCAACCATGCCATCTGCAATAGTAGCGGGAACCCGAATGCCTTGCTAGCTCTCTTATCCCAGCTCATCCTTCTCCCAAACAATCACCCCCAGTTCAAATCCTGACCCCAAAGATCATCGTTTGCAGCTCTCGGTTCCACGGCCTTGGGAACTCGGATATTATGTCAGTACATATGTGGCGCCCAGCCCCATCCTACCTATCACAATGCAGGCCCGGCCAATTCCGAACGCGAAGCCGCAGTCGCAGCCACAACCGCGAAGTTTTTAATCGAAAACACTTGACAGTGGGGGACACGGGACGGGACTTACCAGTGACGAGCAGGTCTAGCGGTTACGGGGTCATGATTATCGTCTCGCGGCGACGGGAGGGGCGTCAAGTTCCCGTCTCTGTCTGGATTTGGATTGGGGCTAGCTTGGTTGGCTTAGTTGGCTGGTGGGCGCTTGGCCGTTTGCACGATATGCAGAGACGCGGGATCGGGATCGGGATAATTTCACCGTTTGGATCAGGGCTAGACAGGTACCCTGGAGCTGATATAACTGACCCGGCGTGATATAAGTGTCGGGGAAGGCGGTGATCTTCGTTGTTTATGCGGTTATTATCGAAGTGGTGTCTATGTACGGTGGTTGTCGGTATTATTGAGTTTTAACTTTGGCTTTATTCCGGATCTTGGGGACGAGGTTGAATTATGTGTGCAGCAGTGATGGCAAATGGCGGTCTGCATTGACGTGGACGAGGATGGAAAAGGGTTTGAGGATTGGGAAGTGAAGCTGTGGACAGCCCGAAACTACCACACCCAAAAGTCTCAAACGATTACAACGACGGAGTAGATCGCAATCGCAGAGAACCCATAGCCTGTAGGCGAATTGGCGACACAACCACGCTCGAGTAAAGAATCCGACAAACTTGCTCTTGCTCGCTTCCGGTAGTTGATGCCACAATAGAACCAATATAGTCTATCACATGCTTATCGCATGAACGACAGAAAATATACCAGCCCAAGGTATTACTTTGCCGATCAATGCGATCCAGCGCGTACACTCGCCTGTAGGTAAGCAGCTCTAGAACCTGCTGGAAAGTGGGGTCGAGTCATAAATTCACCCAGCAGTTTGGGCGGGGGTATGCTTTGACGTACGTAACTCTAGATGTACACGTCGACATCTTGTTTCAAGAGAAGAGATGAGCTCAGCCAGCTTATGCAGATCTAATACAATACGTACACCGATCATGACTACCCAATATCCACAACTGAGGACTGGTCTAGAAACGCAATGCAAGGCTAGACGAAAAATCTATTCATATCCAGACTCCTCATGCGTGTGTCCAAGATCTCTCTGCTTACTGTCGTGGTCAGCACAGTCATAAGTGTTGCAAATCGATGTCGCATCAATAACAACGTCTACTATACCTGCCAAGACTATACCCCGGTCTACAAGAGTAAGTTGGCCGAGCATCGGAAACATAATAATCCTTCTCTCTTCTCTCGGCTTCTTCCCCTCGCTCTTCTCTTACAACTTCAGGCGATTCCTCGGAGAATTCCCACACCCACAGTCCCACTCAAGATTCCTGACCCACTGCCGGGAAATTACGATCGACTTAAATCAGGCATCGGGAGCGGAAACGGTGAATTATCAACCTTGATAGACCCTGGAATGATGGGCTGATGTTCATGGTTTCAGGACTAAAAGAAGGTTAGGGGTCTCGCCAAGGGGATAGATGTGGAGGGATTATCGCGGGAGGCGGCGACAAGTGCCGTGATGGCGATAGGGGTTGTTGATTTGTGAATCGTGAGCCGTGACTGACTACATGGCTTGGTTGTTATACTGAGACTTGAAAGGCTGTTTAAATCCCCTGGATTTGTGTCGGTTGTCCATACAAGCTGCTTTATTACATCGTTCTTTGTAAACTGTCCATACACATCCTCTGGAAATCCAATATGTCATCACCGCGACCTTTTGAGGGCAAGCTAGCCATTGTCACAGGCGCCTCGCGAAGTACGTCCAACATAAGCAGTCGTCGACCCGAGTACCAACGACCTGGGCCAGACTGACAAACTCACTATTACTAGGTTTCGGCGCTGCCGTCGCCACGCACTTGGCCGCTCGCGGTGCCAACGTCGTGATCAACTACGCAACAGCCGCGTCGGACTCCAAGGCTTCCGAGCTAGCCGCCCATCTCTCCAAGACGTACAACATCAAGGCACTCCCTGTCCGCGCCGATCTACTCGACGCATGCGCACCTCAAGCCATCGTCGACGCAGCAAAGGCGTACTTCACCAACCCAGCGGCCAAGACGCCTTTCCAAATCGACATCATCATCAACAATGCCGCAGTAGTAAATGCACAGCCCATCCAGGAGCTCGACATAGAGCTCTGGGATCAAACATTCAACTTGAACTGCAAAGCCCCTGCCCTCCTCATCAAAGCTGCTTTTCCTTACCTCCCCCACGACCGCTCTGGTAGAATCGTCAACATCTCGTCTGCAACTACGACATGGGCTTTGATCCAGCAGACGTCATATGCAGGCACCAAAGGCGCCCTAGAAGCCATGACGCGTGTGTGGGCGCGTGAACTTGCTGAACGGGCAACAGTCAATAGTGTGAGTCCCGGGCCCATGGATACGGGCCTTTTGCACGGTCTGCCAAAGGAGGCGAGTGAGGCTTTGAAAATGTATCAGGCGTTAATCCCACTGGCGAGGGAGCGTCCCGGCGTGGACGACGAAAGTACTGTCAAGTTGGCGGCGGAGATTGGTGGACGGCCGGGCACACTGGAGGAGGTGGCGAATATTGTGGGCATTGCTTGTTTGCCGGAGAGCGGGTGGATGACAGGAAACCAGCTGAGTGCTAGTGGTGGTGGTGCGTTTGTGCGGTGAGAGTGTCGGGTTTGAATAGGCTCATGAAGCTCGTCATGGCATCCTCGCTGAATTCAGTGTCTGCCCATCGTTGGTCTAGATGTGCCCGTCTCATATCGAAAACGGAATAGATCTCTGTAGTAGTTGTGCTGAAAGCAGAAATGAAGCGTATGTCCATCACCTACTTTTGGGGGCTTGCCATCCTTTCCACTGGGCTAGCCGTCCTGGCTGCGCCGACGCCCGATGCCAACAACTCGAGCCTTGACGCCTGAACACGGTGCTTCTTCATGACGTCTATCCACTCCTCTTCAGGCTCATTCTGCGTCTTTTCCTGCTCATCGCTCTCATGTAGCTCCGCTCTCAAATCCTCCTCCAATAACGCAATCATCATGCTAAAGTCTCCACCCAGCCGGCCTAGCGACGCGGCACAATACAAGACCTGAGTGAGCAGCGAGTCCCGCGCCGAGCGATCCTGCACGTTGGGGAGGTAGGTACGCAATGTATCGAACAGCATTTCAACGAGGTGGAGGGGAAATGTAGCTAGAGCGGAGGGAATGGGTTGGAGAGGATTTTGCGACGTGACGGGTTTGACAGCGGGTGCTATTTCTTCCGAGCCAGGGGCGGGCAGAGCAGAGGGAAAGATGCTTTTATACATTGATATAATGGCGAAGCTTTGTTCTCGAAAAACCTCTAGATATTTCTTCAGGTACTTTTCCGTTTGCTGGCCGGCAGCCCACCCAGCGTCACCTTTTGTGGTTTTGCTGTTTCGCTTCTCGCTTTCCTGGTCAGCGAGCTCGCGGAGAGGTTCAAGAGCGGCTGTGATGAGCTCGAGGCAGGCGAGTCTGCAAACGAGGAAGAGAGCGCCCAGTGTGCCTTCTCCACTGCCTATGCCGGCTTGCTTGGTGGACCAGGCTTCATCTAGCTCCGGGGCTACGCGTCTGAGCCAGCCAATGGTCCGCATGGCGCCGGCCAGCTTGATGCCCTGTGACTGGAGGGAGCTAATGAGATTGGTGGTCATGGTCTTCATTTCTTGCTCGGCCTGGGCAGTGAGAGACGAGACAAGGACCGAGTTGGGATAGAGCGTGTGCAGGCGCTTGATGTGGGCGTAGAGATCCAAGGCCGAGGCATAGTTTGCGTTGGTAGTGGCAGAAGACGCGGTAGCCTGGGCGACAGCAGTGGAAGAGCTAATGGCAGAGGAGAGGAGGGTGGGTAGATCGAGCACATCGGATACGCGGTCCATGTTGCGCGACAACAACATAGCCTTTCTCCGTTGGTCCAGTATGGCATTCTCGGATCCTCTACTATATTTCTCTGCAAATGACTGGGCTGCTGTTTCCAGTTTGGGCAGGCCCGCCTGTATCGCGCCTGCATCTTGGCCTATTTGCGGAAGCGTCTTCGCGAGATGGCCAAGGTGGTCGATTGAGGCTATGATGGGCTTGTGGGAACGTTTGGAGAGGGCATGGAGGGAACGAAGGATGGACTGTGAGCTTTGCGACAGCGATTGTTGCTCCGACGAGCCCAGGGCTGCGAGAGGGAGCGTGGTAAGGCGGGCGAGGTAGGCATTGGTTTGGGGGGAGTTTGGGGGAGGCGCATCGTGGGCAGCGTCAAAGTAGGGAATCAACAGTTCGTACAGCGGGTCAGCCATCTGGGCGGCTTGAATTTAAAAGGTGAAGCCAGGCTTATGTTAGACACCTGATGGTAGTGTGCCGACCTGCACAGCACATGTGAGGATGATGATGCCCGTTGAAGCTACTGTGGCTGGAGCTTATCCCTACAAGCTAACTAGTGCATGTGGCGTTCACGTGTGGCGCATTAAAGCCTAGCCCAACTATTTCCAATTCACATGAATCGCAGGTACCACGACGTTTGATATCAAGCAAAACAAGGTCAAACACGACCATTTGTTGTCGACAGCATACGTAAATACCCACGACACCGCTACGGAACCAAGCCAACCGCCGGACCTGATTGCACGTGTTTTCTCCCCGACCGCCATGGACGCGCAGCATGTCGTCTTCTGTCTCGAGGATACCGTGGGCCTCGCAGACGACCGCTACAGCGTCGGCATCATAGAGCGATGCTTTGGCGACGTCGAATCCCATGAGCCCCGTCCGCAGCGCGACTACGTCGACGACATTCAGCGCCACCCTGATATCCCCGCCGCTCAGTTTGCGACTTTTATGCGCGATGGCATCCCACCGCGGGGTACAGTGCTGGTAGCATGGCAGACACAGTACAAGACCGAGCTCATACCAGAAGAAAAGCTGCAACTACTAGACCGCGCCCTATACGTGGGCGACATAGTCAAACGTAGGGCTGAGGACCACATCAGCGGGACCGTCATAGGCACTCGCGCAACAACCACTCTCTTTCCTGCCACCCAGTTCAACGGCGGCCAAATCACACAGCCGACGACGGACGAGTTTTCTATACGCGAGGTCCCCGCAGAGGAGCTGATCAACGTGCATGAGTTCGTTGAAGGTGCTCTCGTCGTCTACGGCGACTGGGTGGGACGTGTCGAGAATGTCTATGACGACGTGGCAATCAAGCTGGCCAACAACTCGGTAGTTGTCGTCGAGGATCCCGCTGAGCTAGAGCAGGATGATACCACAGTCGAGCGCCTCAGCGTCGGCGACACATGCAAAACCAAAAAGGGCAACCTACGGAGGGGGCGTTGGAAATTTGGGGCATACGATCCCAGCGTGGCACCAGTAGGCGTAGTTGTCGAGACTAGGGCATGCGAGATCGATGTGCAGTGGTTGGCGCGAAGTATTGGCGCCCGTAATGCCGCCTTCTCTGCCTTGGAGCCTCCCGCCACCCTGGGACGCGACGAGTTCGAGAGCCCCACCTTCTACAAGTACGATGCATCCGGTGGCACTGCCACTACCCTTCCACTGTTGGAAAATGGCGTTGATAAGTCGTATCACGTTACAGATGTGGCCGTCGGCGATCGCGTCCGCTTCAAGGATATCGCCGGAGCCGCAGTCAAGTATGACGGCTCGAAGAAACTACCCAACGGACTGCCACAAGGCAAGGTGACACGCATCCCACGCACCGAATCGCTAGGTTACGATCTCAACGTTTACCTCGTCATGCAGACACACAGCCAAGTCACAGTACAATGGCAAGACTTATCAGTGACGCACCATCTCAGCTCTTCGCTGATACCCGATCCCAATGTAGAAGACGATGACGAAGTCTGGCCTGGCGAAATTGTCTTCTCAAAAGAGAAATGCCCAAACTCTGACACCGATATCGTGACCAAGAAGCCGAAAAAGGTAGGCATCGTCCAGACTGTCAAAGCCCGGGATCGAATAGCAACTGTGCGATGGTTTGAAACCCCCAAAGTCGAGTTTTTCGGCCCCAACCTGCTTCCGCCTTGTACAACGGGCGAGCTTAGCGACGCCGTTGAAGACGTCAGTTTGTATGATATCTACTCGTTTCAAGCCCTTACACGCCGCCGTGGCGACTTTGTCATAGTGAACCCAGATGCCATCGGCCAATCCCAGCTCAATGTCACTGGCCCCAACTGGTTTGGCGAGGTTATAGATCTGGGTTTAGATGGCAAGTTGACTGTGCGTCTTGGCGCGGCAAAGCCTGTGGTTGATGTCAAGGTTCCCTACGAAAGTGTCACCCTTGCTTACAGCAGCGACATGGCTGATGATTTCCTTGAACCGAATCCGTTAGACGGCGACTCCATTGATTCGGACACTGATGACGAGCCCGATTTTGACTCTGCCTCATTCAACGAGATGTGGATCGAGTATGAGAGCATGGATGGAGAGCACCCCATCGGTGACGAAGGTGACTGGTCAACCGAGGACGAAGATGATGACGACGATGATGATGATGAAGACGACGAGTCTATGCCAGATCTCATCGATATCACAAAAGAAGACGTCGACACATCAAAAACCACACCCGAGACAAAATCCCCTCCGACGACTGAAGAACAGCGCGACTCACAACCAACGGCAGACATTGAAGACTTATCAATGCAAGACAGCCCAGATATACTCACCCAAGGCCCGGCCCCCTTCCTCATTCTCGAAGAAGCCCCACCCCCATCCCACCACTACCTCTCCCACACCTCGGCCTCTTCCTCCACATTCATGCGGCGCATAGCAAAAGAGCACAAAATCCTCCGCACCTCCCTCCCCCCCGGCATCTACGTCCGAACCTGGGAATCGCGCCTCGACCTCCTCCGCGTCCTCATGATCGGGCCCAACGACACACCCTACGAATACGCGCCCTTCGTCATCGACTTCCACCTCTCTTCCACATACCCGCAACAAGCGCCCGAAGCCTATTTCCACAGCTGGACAAACGGAAACGGCCCCGTAAATCCAAACCTTTACGAAGACGGCAAAATCTGCCTCAGCCTACTGGGCACCTGGCACACCGACGAAAGAAACGAAAGTTGGAGTCCCGCCAAAAGCACACTCTTACAAGTCCTCGTCTCCATCATGGGTCTCGTTCTCGTAAAGGAGCCGTATTACAACGAAGCTGGCTATGATGTTCATCGTTCGGCACCGGAAACTAAACTCAGCAGCGCTTTATACACGGAACGAGCGTATTTCCGTGCTAGGGCGTTCATAATTCATGCACTTACTCATGATGTCGCGCCTTTCAACGAGGAACTTACGTATCTGTATCGTAGCACGGAAGACGGTGCGCCTAGGTTGCTGGACAAGGCGATCCAGGCGGCGAAGGAGATTGTGGAAAGGAGTAGTGATGTGGGGGAGGAAGGCGAGCGCGATGGCTTGACCAGGGTTAGCAAGGGTGCGCTGGTTATTTTGAAGAGGCACTTGAAGGATTTGGAGGAGATGCGCGTGGTTGTGGAAGATCTTTTGTGATGGCCTGGGGTTGGTGCCGGCATTGATAAAGAGAGAGACAGAGCAAGTGTAGTATACCCTTTACTGGACGTAGTGGATGGAAACGTTGAGCATAGCATGCTCGTTCGTCATTGTATTCTTTTGGTCTTTTCTTCCGTCATCGTGTATACCGGGTACGTTGGCTTTTGCTTGGGCTGGCGATGCTGGGGTGCTGACGCAGGATGTGGTTCCATGGGCTGCGGTGAGCGGCGCTGCTTGCGTTGGGTGGGTAGGCGGTGTTGGTTGAAATGTCAGGCGGTTTGACAGGCGCTGGTTGAGATATGGGGTGTTTGACAGGTTGTGCTGTTTGGCAGGCTGCGTCGCTTGAGAAGTGGAGTGATTTCACATATGTCTTTGTTTGACAGCCATCGTAACGCAAATTCCTGGCTAGAGGGCTATGCAAGGACGCCTTCGCTACTGTCGCCTACGCTACTGTCGCCTACTGAGATTCGTCGCGATCACGGCGACCCGAGCATTATTCAAGATGCGGGGTTGTTTGTTGGGCGTCACTGCGAGTATGCGAAGCTCGCGTTTATGGCGGAGGTTGAGTTGCTTAACAGGTGGCGTGACGCCGTTTTGCGAGAGAATGAGTGTCGCCATGGGTATCGAAAGCTTGCGTTTGTTTGGGCGGTGTCGTATCGTGGTGTCGCGACCAGGCAAGGTAAGACGCGCGCCTACCTTGCCCATGTGTGGTGTCTTCCTGCTCTGGATCGGCGATGCTGTACGCTCAGGAATTTTGGGCCAGAGCGTGTGTATTTCATGATTCAAATGCTGCAATCGGGTGAGTGAGGCTGTTTGTACCTCGCGACAATATGAGTATGGCTGGCAATCTCAGCCATGCTTCTTGCAATCGCCCTGGGTAGCGGAGGATATTGGATGTTCCTTACTCTAAGCTACTTTCCTACGTTCTCATGTCCTTGTACAATGGTCTCGTCGGTGGTGTGGTATGTAGGTGTGCTGGAAACCCTGGGTTCACTCTCTTTCACTTCTCCACCCTTTCACTTTCTCGCAAGCGGGTACTCGCGTTCTACGTCATCGCTACATCTGTTTATGCTTGTACATTGGTCTAAGCGCTCAGTCGCGGAAGCATATTGTCAAAGACTTGGTCTCGCCAACTTTGTTTCTGTCGGATCACAGATATCAACGATATCTCAGCCACGTGATCGACCGCATTGATCTCGGTCACGCGAGCAGGCGCACTGACCGCGGCGTCCGAGCAGCGCTCAGACCAGACCTCCTATATCTAGCTCTTCCATAGTTCTCCTTTACAATCAATCAGAACAATCACCGAACAGAATGCATTCCTAGTTATCGTTATTTCCTTTTCGCACTTAGTGCGAAGTGTTACGATTGCAAGGAGAAGGACAAGCAACAACGGCAGGACAACGTTGAAGGCGGGGCACAGCGGGTAAGCTTGTGCCGCGCAGTCACGTGACCTGCCCTCCAACCTTGGCATGACCGCCACGGAGGGCACGACCTCCACGGAGGGTGCGACCTCCATGGAGGGAAAGGCCACAATGGAGGGCACGCTTATTATATAACAGTAGGCAATGAGCCCTTACGGTTCATTGTGTTCAACTTCGAAATCTAAGGATTAGTACTTGATTCTCAACTCCCCGTATATTACATCGATCTACCAATCGTGCTATACAACCTCGTGTCCATCGCATCACTCCATCCCCGAGAACCAACCCAAGATCATCTTCGGACGACCTTCACACGAAGCTAACCAACAGTTTCTGTATATAAAGACTGACGATGAAAAGTCCTTCATTGATTATAGAGAACTTCCCGGTTCAATGGCTCACCACAATTGTTATATTGTTATCAGGTTTATATAGCGCCGGGTCGCGAGTTCGAATCACTACAGACCCCCCAAAGTGGATGCAAGTGTGTGGCATATTAAGGGGTCGCCTCTCTAGCTATAAGATTTTTTTATGTTTTTTTTAGCTTCTCTTACTTAATAAGGTATATTTACTTAGCTAATGTTGGGAATCGAACCTGCGGTAGAAAAGGCAGCTGGTTGCTGCATGCACGAGCTTGGATTACACGGCTGACTAAGCCGTGTGGTCCGAGCTCTAGCTGCTGCCTTACTGCCGATCTCCCTCCACCTCCATAGAACAACAACAACAACAATCATAATCATTTTCAACTCGTTGCAACGAAGGTGATTCCGATACCTTAGCCGTATCAACAAAGGTATATGGCCGCTAAGCTGAGGAGCTGATGCGCAACCGGATTAGCTATATCACGAAACTTGAGTTCCTACTATGCTTCAAGCGCGCCTTTGACGCCGCGATTACTCCTAGTACTATCTAAGGAGGGTTTAGAGGGGCTGGATTAGTCCTATTTAACCCAGAGTTAGTCATAATAGGCCTTAATGTCCGCATACGGACCCCATCACCACTACCTGTCAGCAACTCGCCCTAGCGGTCGCAACCCCTAGCAATACCCTAGAATTAGGGTCGCAATCGACGCTGGTGAAGTAGAGGATCTAGAGGCATATAGATGGCTCGCCAACAAGTATTGTTAAGCACTTTGAACATCTTGCCAAAGGCGCAGCATTAATAGTGCATAAGCTTGTGTTAGCGCAAAAGGAGATTGCTAAGCTTCGAGCAGTAAATAAGGCCGCCACGCGACGTAAATCGTATAAAAGAAAGCGGGTTCAGGTAGAAGGGTCTATGACAGTAGAGGATAGCCAGCGCAAGACTGCTCTACAGGAGTTTAGGGCGCGTGGTGATGGGAAGAGGGCAAAGAGACGGGTGGGCGCTGAAGGAGGTGAACTATCTCAAAGACGCTGTGGACGCTGTAATAATACAGGGCATAACGCGCGAATGTGTAACTAGATAGCAGAAGTTACATAGCCTCTTGATGCTATTTTAATCCCTTCTATGCTATATCGTGCCAAAGTGGGCTGTAATAGGCTATAATAGAGGTAGTTCTGGTGGGGTCTTTGCAGAAGTGTTTCGCGAAGCCTGCTGATCCGCGAAGCATGCACCTACGTTATATATTTGTCAGATTGTGATGGGTTATCAAAGACGGTGATAGATTGTATTATTCTGGTCTGATGTCGTGTCGTGTTTTTGCTGATCCACAGAATCCGGGTACTCCGAACACCCAGATTTTGTCCACCACCCAAAATATGCCCATATTCTGACAATATTATACGCTATCTATTAGAAGTCTTATAAGATATACTAGTATTACCCTACACCTAATATATATTAGAAATATCGAATTGGTTGCTATTTTTAGTACACGTAGGCCTAGAAAGTAGGTATGTCATTCTGTCAGAATATGGGCATATTTTGGGTGGTGGACAAAATCCGGGTGTTCGGAGCACCCAGATTCTGTGGATCAGTTAAATTAGTCAGCGCGCACGATCCACTGCGATCCAACTGATCCAACTGCGTTGGATCAGCAAAAGAAGAACACGACACGACATAAGACCAGAACAATACAAACTATCCCCGTCTTTGATAATCCATCACAATCTGACACATTCTTAGGGTCTTTCTATCGAAAAGTGGTGTCAGAACGTAGGTCTACGCCCACTACGCTATGCAACCAAAAAGGTACGTATGATCAGTGAACTCCTGATCATCGTGGTAGAATAGTATATATTGTACACCTCGCATTGCGTAGGCCTGACAAGTGGCGTGTTACCTGCTTACTTTACATCTCAACGGCGCCGTTGGTTAGTCCAGAAGAGTCTATCCCAACCACGAGGGCACTTCACATCACAGACGAAGAAAAGAAGGAAATACGCCACTAAGTTCCCTGGTAAACACTCCTACACACCGCAATATTGGATAGCAGTCATACAAGACCTAACTAACGCCTCTTTTCCCCGAAATATATACATGCAAGATCATCACTTATATTATCCGCATCCTCCCGTCCCCGCTTCCAGAAAACCACCTCAGCACCCAGTAACAGAGATACTCTTAATCGGACCCCCAAGCGCAACGCACTGCCCAGCCGCCGTTAGAGTAGCAGAATGTCCCTTACTCGTGCTGCAAGCAGCGTCTGTGAAGATGGTGACTATGCGCTTGTCAGTGCCCCATACCCAAGAAAATAAGTAAAAGGGTCACATACCTTTACATCCCAAATTCGCATAGTTTAGTTTCAAACTCGCCTGACATCCATTCACAACGTTGCACCCCGGGTACAGATCCCCAGAGCCAGCGATGTTGCATACTGTGCCCGTGCAGCCGGCGCCTGTGTAACGGTCTACGGAAGCTACTTGTACGGCTTGGCGGGGTGTGAGGGGGGAGGCGGTGGCTGTGAGGCTAAGGGAGGAGATGAGGGCGGAAACGACGATAGCGGCGGCGTACATTTTGGCGGAAGAAGGGGATTAGGCTAGCTGTATTGAAGGGACAGGTTGAACGATGGTTTTTGCTTGGTGAATTGAGAGGTAGGTGATGATGGCAAGAGCTGAGGTGTGATTTAAATCAGGTCGGCGGTTGCAGCTCTTCTTATACCTCCTCTCACTTCCACCCGGAGAGCTTCTTGGTCCGAAATCCACCTACATACTTGCCTGTCCACCACAGTCCGCAACAATCAATTAAGTGGGTCCTAGAAGGTTCAGATTGGATTGATTGATTACCGCTTTAAGCCTAGTAGTTACCTATAGGAGTTTAAGCCCTACCTAGATAGGTAAGTGGGTCTAGGAGAGTGACCGGATTGAATTGATTGTTGCGGAGTCTACTGTCCACCCGCATACTCACTGAGACAAAAGTTGCAAGCCATAAGCACTTACACCGAAAAGTGCAAAGAAGACGCCTTTCGATCCTTCCACGGCTTGTTGAGGCTGTTGGTGGTGAGAGCTCGGATGTACGCGATAGGTAGGTACGTAGGTACCTAAGCGTATGTCATGAATGGCGATACCCACCCGCGCTATGTACGGATCACGTCAGCAACGCGCGATCGGGAGGTGGTGCCGTGTACCCAATAACATCTAGAGGAAGAGAAGAAGTGGTGAGATGCACGGGTGGTGTGAGATGGATCTAGTCCGTTTATGGCTTGCGACTCAGGCTGCGAGTACGTACATGTGGAAAATGGGCCTATGGTCGAAGGCCAAGCAGGCGTCTATGGTGAGAGGTACGTGGAGGATGACATCTAGTTGCAAGACCTTCTTTTGTCCGGGTTCCAAGGTCTGAGAGGAGGCAAAAGCATTTGAAAGTAACGCAAAGTGCAATTCCAGGGGCTCAGTCATTGCTCTCTCACTTCTAGCGACCGAGGTGTCGCTTCAATCAACATACAATGCCCGTCTATAGTAAATACATACAGCCACATGTGCACGATCATCATCATGATCCACAGCTCAGATCAGCCCGTGTCATCAAGCCATCGTACTTAGCAGGTATTCGTACATGACAATCATCGACCTGCTCGCCTCGCGATCCCTACCACGCATCTGCATGCACGCCCGCCGAAGCTGCATACTGCATTTTTTTAGATTTACCCGGCCATGTCATCACCTCATCTTGCATGACTCCATCTGGTCTGACAAGCTCGCTTGTTCGGAAGCGAAAATCCAACCGCCACCTGGGTATCATAAAATACTTGTCAGTGTGGGTAAGCACTTAATAGGCGTGTCTGCCGACTACATTGGCCTTTTCCACTGTATGTCAAATATTCTATGATACCCGGGTGCCGCTGAGGTTGGTATGACTCGTAGCTTTCCACGGTTTTTTCCCTTAGTCCATGTCATCAGTGAGCAATGTGTGCCCCCAGCTCAGCCCTATGCAAACGACTAGATGGATAAATGGAATAGTTGGATGTCATCCGTGGTGCGGCGAAGGGCCGGCGTGAGATGCGAGGTAAGAACACGATTGTGTTGGGTTGGGGGGCTTGCTTACCGCATACATGCATGCATGTGTCCACCAATACGGAAATAAAGCCGGCTCGGAACCACTAATATTGCAGGAGGATCGGCCCGCAAGGTCGTCTGTTGTGCATCGATCTGACGCCGAAGCCGGTATCATGAGATGGGAGCAGTATTTGATTGTTAGGATTTCCAGCTTACCACATTATGCCGAATTTTTCATCGAATGGGCTAAAAAGCTACTAAAAAACGTTCATGTGGTTTTTATTGACATAGGTCGGCTATGAGGCATTTCTTGGTGGTGGAAAATTTGTATGCGGTTATTAACACATGTGTTGGGAAGGTCTATAGCACTAGTGCTGAAAGGAAATAACGATAACTAGGAATGCATTCTGTTCGGTGATGGTGATTTATTTATTACGAACACAGCTGCTACGAAGGTATACCTAAGCTCTGCGCAAGGTGGGCCGAAGTCGGGCCGAAGTGTCCAGCAGCCGACGTCTCTACCGATACTCACGATCCGACACTGGAAGTCTTTTCTTTCTGGGTAGCTAGTAACTCTGCTTGTATCGGTAGTGACAGTATGTGTTGATGGTAACTGTGTGTAGCATCAACCATCAAAGCTTGTCGGCCTCTGCACCCATCCCTCTACTCGGACTGTCAGCTTATTGCCGTCAATAAAGCGTTCAAGAGCGCGGTTTGGCGATGCCTTGGTGAAGGCGTCTGCAGGATTGTCTTCACCATTGATCCAGCGGATCTCCGTGATCTCGCGACGCTCATATGATTGGCGCAGCGCCATGATGTCGATCATGAGACGCTTTTCCTTCGTCGTCCCAAGCTTTACTAGGCACTCGTACAAGGAGTACGAGTCTGTACAGATAACCAAGGGAATTGCAGGTAGTCTAAGTCGTTCTGTAACTATCCTCAGCGTGGTTGCAACTGCAATGCCTATGTCAAAGCCGTTGACCATGCCGTAGATCTCTGAGGCCAGTACGCTCCGTGTGATGCGCTTGCATTTTGTAGAGCTGTAGTGGATCACGTTGCCCTGTATTGTGAAGGTGTTGACGTCAATAGACTCGTTGACGAGCATAAGGACAAAGCCTAGCTGTGAGCTGAGGTCCTTGTTGTTGGCAAAGGAGCCATCCACAAAGACCATCAACTTGGCCTCCATAAGATTGACAGTGACGTAGCGCAGGCCACGATCAAGATTCTCCATCTGCCATTTCAGGCGTTTGTTGAGTGCCTTGATGTCCTCGTCTGATGGTTGCTGAGCTTGAGCAGCGACGGACAGGTCAAATGACGCCTCTGGTTGGCATGTTGATGCGATGTACGCTCCGCGGGCGCGCTGCTCGGTGTACTGTTGCGCGCGGTCGGGTGCCCTGATATTCACAAGCCTGATCCTTCCTCCTTGTCCTTTCTGCCTAAGGGTCAAGACTCTGCTGGCGTCCATCGTGAGTGTACATCCATTGAAGTCTAACTGCACTTCTGGTGTCAGCCTTGCTTTTGGCTTTGACCTGAACTCTGCCTTCTGGATCTTCTTCTCTTCACGTGACGAGAACGCTGGTGTCCCGAGCATGAGAGTGTCGTCTGTCTGCATGCCAACGATGCCGAAGATGCCTGCGTCGTCGCTGTTCGTGATCAATAGGCATGGGTCGTACGTCGATGTTGCCATGTCCAGTTCCTTGCAATGGTGTCCGTGATACGTTGTCCACCAGTGGACTCCTGCCTCAGCGATTCCATACAGCGGCTTGATCACATGGAGTAGCGTGCCTTCTGGATATCGATGGACTAGCTCAGTAGGAAGATGTGCGAGTATCGTCCTCTTCAGGGTTGTCTGCGCCTGGGGATACGCCTGCGTAATGTCACGGAGCTCGATGTTCATTCCGCGTTGTACCATCTCGGGCGCCAGCGACATAATCAGGCGCTGGCTACATCGCTGTATGGTTGGAGATTGCGTCAGAATAGTCTCCTTGCCGTGGTCCTGGTAGCCTTGGATAACTAGGCGGGATTTCTCATAGGGCTTGGTTGTCTTTCCCTTGACCTCACGTACTAGGCGTGACTTGAAGATCCGGATCTTGCTGTGTAGCCTCTCGTCGTATTGCTCAAATTTAAAGACTCCACGACCTACGAGGTCGCTGATCTCTTGGTCATCAGACGCTTCAAAGGGGGCGCCTGAGGTTGTGATCACTCCATCGTTACGTAGCTTGATAGCTAGCTCAAGATCGTCCTGCTCCTTCTTGGTGATGTACGCGTGCGCCTTCCGCCTGTTCTTTGACCCTGGAGGGCGGCCTCTCCTGCGTGGTTGCACTGCCGGTGGTACTGCTACCGGCTCATGCGGCTCATTCGGCGCGTGTGGCGCATCGGGGTCGCTCCAAAGGTGGTCTGGTCTGTAGTATGGCTTGACGACAGTGGATCTGAATGTCGTTGGACCATTGACCATGTCAACAGTGACGTTGTGGCCATCTGTACTGGCGATCTTGTACGGGCCATTCCAGCCATCACTCTCTCTCCATACTAAGACTTCGCTCTGGAGTGGGAGCGCGAGCATGTCTGCAGTGGCTGGTCCATTGCGGGTGTTCAAGGCGTCTGCAACTTGGTGCTCTGCCGTGATCTTGCGTAGGGCTTTCGTCGCCTTTTGAATAGCCTCGCTGCGCTTGACCATTGACGGGGATGGCGGTGACTCTGCAGTCATTCGTGGGTACGCTCCAAAGACCAGTAGCGTCGGGACTAGTCCATCGGGGCCAGCAGTATCGTTGACAGCCTTCACAGCCATCTGGAGAATCGCGTCGTCGGACATAGTGTCAGTGAGTTCTGCATAGAGTATGTCCCATGCGCGGCGTAGAGGTGCATGGTACCTCTCAGTTTTGCCGATAGACCAGTGCGCCTCCGTAGGTACTTGCTTGCATGTGACTCCCATGATCTTTGCTTCTGCGCGGAACTCTGTGCTTGCAAAGTTAGTGCCTGCGTCATGCGTGATAATGTCTGGTGGTCCTTGATACGTGTCGATCCATAGTATCCGCAGTGCTTGCCATGTTTCTTTAGCTGAGATAGCGCTAAGGAACCTCGCGCCTTGAAACGCTGTTGAGGAATCGACCACATGCAGTACAGGTTTGTTGCTCAGGTACATCACATCCACCAGGATCTCATAGTTGAAGTGGTGATCATCCTTGAGAGTGAATTTGAATCGGCGCGGTGCGGAGCTGTGGAGCTGGCAGTGGTGGCAGAACTTAGTGACTTCTTCTAGGGTTCTTTCTTCGAAGTCGTTATGGCCAGCATCCTTTAAGAGCTTAACAAGTCGCGTGACAGCTGGGTGTCCAAATCGTCGATGGAGCCGTCGCAACTCTGTCTCTGTCAGGAACACAGTTGCTCTCTCTCTTTTGTTCAGATGGAACCAAGGATGTCCCCATTTGCGAATTACAGGGATGTGTACGTCACCCTGGACTAGCTCATCTGTGGTGTTGTTAAAGTAGACCTTTAACCTGTCCATGTCTGCAAGGCACAATAAGAATGGTGTAGGTGCGTCAAGCACCTCAAAGTTGATCGTCCCAATGTCTGTAGAGACCTGTGCAGTGCCAATAGATGATGTAGCCTCGCCCTTGCCGAATTTGATAGATGC